AATGCACAAGTATCTCCCGTCTAGGCCCTTACACTCTGCTGAAGACTTACGTTTATCTTCTGTCCGTACTCCCACCTCTGATGCTCGATTTCGAGACTTCTCGAGGGCTGGACCATTCCTGTGGAACTCTCTTCCCTCCTCCGTTAGATGCTCACCCAGTCTCCACTCCTTCAAAAAATCATTAAAAACCCACTTCTTCATAAAAGCGTATCAATTGAACTGTTAATTAAATATGTTAATAGCTCCCGACTGACTCCTCTCTTGCAACTGTTATTAGTCTAATACTATCCTTACCTTTTGTGTCACTGTACCCCACTCCCTCTATCATGTTTGCTCATTGAGCAGTGCCCTCAACCCCTCTGTTCCTGTGTGTCCAACTTGTCTGGTTACAACTCCATGTTTGTTCGTCCACCCACTGTAAAGCGCTGCGGAATTTGTTGGCGCTATATAAATAATAACATAATACATAGAATGGTAATAGTGAAGAGCTCTATCGCACTTGATGAAGTGGTTAACACCTCTTTTTTGGATGCCACCAGGCTTTAATTGGCTTCAGACGGGTACGCAGTGTTCTGGGCAGGAACGTATCCATTCACATACCATGTCATGTCTCTGGCTACTTTATCTAAAAGGGTCCCCTTTATTGCAGTCCTAATTCCTTTTAATGCCTCCGGAGATTTAGAGTCTGGAGCAGATTTGTGAAGCTCTGCGAAGTGCTTCCTGCAATTCACTAACCTTACACGTTTTACATTGTTTTATATATTTTCCTTATGTGTAGCTATTTACAGGCCAAATTGCAGCTGCACATACCTCTGCAGCGTCAAAAAGAAAATACTCCCTCAGTTCCTCCACTACTTCGCTATCTTTTAGTAAGGATGTATTCAGTTGCCATGACCAGTGGGTTGGGATCAAAAAGCCCCTTTAGCAGAGATGTATGTCTGCGTGATCGGACTAGGAGATCGTCTGTATGTTCGTTTCCTGAACATGAATTGTTCTACTAGAGACCAGCAACAAGTCGATCTGAGTTTGTTCCATGAGGGGTGGAATAAAAGGCATAATTCTGCTCCCTAGGTTGTCACACCCTCCAGATGTTTACTAATTCACAATAGTAGATGCATTTATGCAGGAGTTTATCATTTGCCCCCATGTTATGGAAACGCCTGGCCCAAAGGGTCGTGCCCCAGTCAGTTGCCAAGCATGGAGTTGCATTGCAGTCACAGCCTAGCACTATAAAACCTGACTTGAGAGGTTTTACTAGATCACCCAGGTCCCGCCTCAATTGACGGTAAGCGGTGTTTGGGGAGTATATATGTTGACTAGGTGCAGCGTTTGGAAGACTCTGCAAAAAATGTATTTAAATAAAATTCAAAACCCTGAAATATCACATTGACACAAGTATTCAGACCTATTGCTAAGACACTTATAATTTAGCTGAGATGCATCACAGTTCTCTGGGTTATCTATGAGATGTTTTTACACTTCTGAGTCCACCAGTGCCAAATTTAATTGATTAGACATTATTTGGAAAGGCATTCATCTGTCTACGTAATGTTTCACAAATCAGAGCACAAACCAAGTGATGAAGTCAAAGTACCTGCCTGCAGAGATTAGAGGCAGGATTATGTCAAGCCACAGTTCTGAGAAACACTAACACATTTTAACTGCATTGAAGGTTCACAAGAGCATGGTGGCCTCCATTTTTTAAAAAAATTTAAGTTTGGAACAGACAGGTCTTCCAAGAGCTGGCCAAACTGAGAATATTCATGGAGATAGCAGAAACTTGCAGAAGGACAACCATATTTGCAACACTCCACCGATCTGGCCTTTATGGCAAACTAGTGGTGAGGAGAGGCTTCCATTTGGCAAGACACATGAAAGCCTGATTGGAATTTCCAAAAAGGACTCCCAGACTGTGAGAAACATGATTCGCTGTTGTAATGAAACAACAATTTAAAAGTTTTCCTCAATTAAATGCATCGTGTCTGCAGGAAATCTGGCACCTTCATCACCGATGCAAAACCATCTCAACAGTGAAGCATTGAAGTGGTAGCTTTATGCTTTATTTTCAGAAGCAGGGGCTGGTAGACTGCTCAAGTTTGAGGGAAAAGCTGAACGCAGCAAAATACAGAGATATCCTTCATGAAAACCTGGTCCAAAGCAGACTGGGCCAAAGGTTCACCTTCAGACACAACAATAACCCTAAGCAAACAGCCAAGACAACGCAAGAGTGGCTTAGGGACAACTCTGAATGTCCTTGAGTGGCTCAGCCATAGCCCAGACATGAACCCAATTAAATATCTCTGGAGAGACCTGAAATTGCTGTTTGGCATTCCCCATCTAACCTGGCAGAGCCTGAGAAGATCTGCAAAGTTTTTTGTATTATACCCAAAAATACTTCATAAAAATTATTTCAAGTGACTTTATAGCGTTAAGATTACAAGTATGTTTTTCTAGCTAATTGCAAGTTCTCTGTGTGCGTTGAAATAAGAAAATTAAATAATCTTACTTGCCTTTTCTCCAGCATTGAGTGTCCCTCCCCACTGCCGCAAGCTCCGTCTCATATGATGTTATCCTGCACCCGAAATGACAGTCTAATTCAATGCTTTTCATAGCGGTGCATTGGGGACCGTAGGCACATTTGCAATTTAAAATCTTGTCATAGAGGGAGCCTAACCACGGACCCGATCAGACGCCATTTCCAAAAGCTCCTAGGCCTACAACCCTAATCCTGCCGATATCGGCAATACTAAGCACAATCCAGCCACAACACTCACCGAACCCGGACCCAGTAGGGCAAGAGGAACCAACTGATGCCTTTTTTCCAGGCATCAAAAACAACGAGGAGGAAGCACAGGCCTGAGGCCTACCGAGCACTCCACAGCCTGGAAGGAATCCTGGGAAGCCTTACCGCGAGCGGAGAAGACATCCCGCAATCCCAGGAACCACCAGCCTCACCAACACCAATGTCAGGCAAAGGTAGGCGCTCTCAAAAGCCCCAAAATCAGGCAGAAGGTCGGGATATAGGGGCCATGCTACAGAGGCCCGCCCAACTCAGGCCCACTCCCGCGGAAGATGTGCAAGTTAGGGACATGGGCACAGCGGCAGGCCATGATAGACCTGGGAACTCACAATCTCTGTACACCCCTCAAGCTGAGCAGCATGAACAGCCAGATGACTCATAACCCACCACAAAGAGGGATTTAAAACTTCTTCTGGCAGAAATTCACAAGTTACTGGCGGCAGACTCCGCACTACTCAAAACGGAGGTACAGGCAGTCACTGCGAGAGTTCGCACCTCAGAGGAGGAAATACAGACCGTACAAACCCACCTAACCTCCGTGGATACCTCCATACAAGAGCATCAAGCCCAAATCCAGACCTTGTCACTGAGACTTGCCACCCTGGAAGACTGCCAGAGGCGTACACACATCAAGATCAGAGGCATCCCCTCAGTGGTCACAGCGACAGAACTGCCACACTACATTAGAAGACTGCTGACAACAGTCATGTCTCACACTGTGGCCAAACGAATAAAAGACAGTGTATTCCGTCTTCCAAGCCCTACTCACCGCACAACAACATTGGCACGAGACGTCATTCTAAGATGCGCCATGCTACCTGACAAGCTTCAAATCATGGCGGCAATAAAAGACAAGACACCACTCACATTCGAGAACTCAAACCTCGCTTTCTTCCAGGATCTCACAAGGGCCACTCTCCAGATCCGCAAAAGTTATAAGCCTGTCACGACCCAGCTGAGAAACGCAGGACTGGCTTACCGCTGGGGAGCGAACGGCTCCTTAGTAGTGACTCAAAACGGGACTACACATACGCTGGGAGCTGTGCACACTTTTTTGAGCACCCTGGGTATTGAGCACACGACTGCACCTTCAACTCCCGAACACCAGGCGACCTCATGGGACCCCGCTTCAATTCCACCATTCATCCCGAGAGAGAGGAACCCACGGCCAGAAACACCGTGACTGCAGGGTGCAATCCCCCGAGGACCACCTTTTCAACCCAACTTTATTTCAGTTTGTGTTCATAGTAGATTTACTTGTTTAGAGTGTATTGTACCCTTTCAACCAAAGGTAGCTACACCACACAGCGCCCACACGGGCCTGAGCTCGGCACAGGCAGGGGCAGATTAGGCTGACAAGCATATACACTAACACCAAATGGCGTACTTTTCCAACGCGCCCCCCCACGGCCCCCTTGGGTCAGGGGCCCACAGCGTGGTGGCATATCCTTTTACCGCAACACTACACTATCAAGAGCGCACATGCTCACGGTACTCGCGATCAGCTACCACCTTTACAACTTGTAACCAGCATGACACGTTATATGTTTTATTTTATATTTTCTATATGGCAAAATGCCTGTAACCCGCACATCCGAACCTAAACACACACCACCTCAGGGCATAGGTCATAAACAATGCACACAGGGACCGCAATTAGAGCAAACAGAAACTCATTAATGAGAGAACTCTACCTAGCAGTCCCTGAACAGAGTCTAAGCATTTACTAAAAATAAAAAATTGGATGCTGTTTCTCAAAGTAATACTAAACTCAATATTGTACATGTAATTGAACCATGCTTTTCCAGTATTCTTGTATCCAATCATATGAAGTATACCGATTATCTATTGAAATGTTGTTAAAACGAAGCATCTTGAAAAATAAAGAATTTAAAAAAAAAAAAATGTTGTCATAGAGGATCGTTGCATGCAATGATTTTCTATGGCAAGCCATGATGACACTGCGCATGCGCGCGTGACCACATGCCTGTGTATGAGAGCCAGTTAGTAAAAATCCTGGCTCTAATATGCATAGAAATTGGAGGTGTGACTTGAAGTAGTCCTTCTAATTGGTAAAAAGTAAAACAGTTTGTGGTCAAGTTTAAGGGGGAGGGGTTGAAGAAGCACTATGGGCAATATAACAACTTTAATAAGATGTTATAGTGAGCACATTGTTACTTTTAACAATTGCAGCAGAAGGCTGCAACATAAAAAAGGTGAAAATACAATGAAACGGACTGAATATATTCTGAATGCCCTGATATACAAACACATATACAAATAATTTGTTCAACACATATCAAAGGAAATGCACTGTAGTTGAAAGTTTATTTTCATTCCTCCCATACAGACAGACATTTGTCCAACAGTTTCTGCATTATCATGTAAACATTGTATGACCATACAGTGTAATTAAAAGGCAGTCTCCCTTTGCTGTAGGGACGTTATTCATACATAGTTTCCAGCTGTAAATATTAAAAATGTACTAACCCCTTCAAAGAGGATAGAAAACAAAAAAAAAATATCAATTAAAAATTACACTGCAAGGCTGTTCAACTCCATCCTTTGGGATTCTCGTACTAACCGGTCCAGCATTTCTCACTACAGGTCATTAATGAACCGCCTTATCAGTAAGGAGTATCATCATGCAAGTACTACTAAGAAAACATGGCAGTATCCTGTACAGACAAGAGATAAACAGCCTGTATTAAAAGTAGTGATTTTTACCATCAATGCAGGCTATATATAAAGACAATTGTAAATACATATAACCATTCTAGTGGCATTGTGTTGCGGACTCATTCAGGAGGGAACGAGTAAAAACAATGCAGAAGACGCTTAAAAATGTTTGGTAGGACATTTCTCTCCCAGAGAGAAATAGGGAGCAGCAGCTCAAACCCAGTCTTTTAACCAACACTTCATATTACTGAATGTTAGAATAGACAATGTGGCATCCAGGAGAGGGGGGCACTTATGTCTTCTCCAGCCATTTGGTATGTGATTCAAGATGAGTGGATTAGCTTAGCCATAATGAAAGTCAAACAGTCCAGTGGAAGAAAGTGTTATGGCTTCTTCAGTTTATTCTTCTGAAATTTAGTGTGAACCACTTTCAAAGTAGTCAGAAAGTTACCAAGGAAGAGGAGGAGAAAGGTGAGTGCCAGCACGAAAACCTGTAGATTGAAACAAGCATAGAGTTTAGATTAATTTGTTTACATCCCATCTACTGCAATATGTGCAAACAAAACGAATACTGCCAATGCTAAAGAAGCAAGACATTCCAATGATGTATAAAGTGTTTAAAGACCAGCATAGTTTGTAGAATAACTGAGAACATATATGTTTATAGAGTCACATACAAAGCCATTTCAAAACAAATCAATTTAGATCTATTTGAAAGATGCCTCAGAGTGATGGTGTTTTATTAATCTCTAGCTACTGTAAGTATGAAGGACGCCATGAAAGTCTAGTGGGTTTTGGTACTAATGGCTTGTTTACATATAAAACAGAGATGGATTTCTTCTTCCTTTTAACCATTTTTGAAAACAAAAATGCTCTTCACCTAAGGGTGGTTTTCACAAATTCCAAGAGATGCTGGGAAACATCGTGTGAATATGGTGGAGAAGGGATTTTATATCTCCTTTAGTGGGGGGCAGCTCATTTTCCTCGTCAGAGGAGGGATGGTGTAATCCCCCTGTGTTTGGAAATTCATCCAGCTCATCTAACGCTTGTTCTTAGCAGGAGGCAGAGGTTGTGTTGCCATTTTCTTTTGGCACAGGGATTCCTGAGGCCTTAATCGGACAAAAGAAAAGGTCCTCAAATATCACAGGCCCCTGTGGGTTTTACGGTTCCCTGGTGTTTAGATTTTTTTCCCCATCTCGTAATAACTTTATGTAGGTCGAAATTAGTATAGTTTAGCTAGTGAAATTGCTGATTTCACGCTAACTGTTACCTTTATTCTGCCCCCTGAATGAAGGTTTTTTTTCTTAATCCTTTCTGTGCTGCGATTGAGAGGAGAGGAGGAAGGGGGGGTACTATAGTTCCAGGAATACGATTTTGTATTCCTAGCCTATAGTTTCCCTTTAAATCATCTACAAGATTCCAATGACTGAAAGCCTATGGCAGTAGAAATCTATTAAAGGACATTGATTTTGGATTAAGCAGAAAGGAATTTTTCATAAGTTATGAATCTGGATCACCCTCCTCCTGCTAGGAAGAAGATCAGAGGTGCCCAGTGTCCACTAAGTATAAGGTGCTGTCATATCCACATCCAGGGTTGGTTACCTCTCCACAATAAAGGCCCCCATAGAGATAGTGTTGGCAGGAATATAATTGCTATCTTGTGTAGATTAGCAGAAATGTGTGGCAGCAGTGATGGATCAGGAGGTATCACCTTCAAGAGGACATAACAGGTGTTGTGGGCTAAATATCCCATATAGGATAGTCTATAACATATGGAGTGCCAAAGGTTGCTAACCCCTGCTCCAGTGGATGTCCGTCATTCAGATGTAAAGTGCTTAGAGTGTCTCTCTAACAATTTTGCCTTATGGATGCATACTGAGTTTTTGTTTAGTTTTGATGATGAGCGGTTATTAGGAAAGTTTAAATACAGTGTCACCTCTGAATGTTTGTATTAGCTGGGTGTGTCTTGAGTGCTTGTGCAGACTGTGGCCTCTCCTGAGCCTCACCCACAATGCACCTTTGATAAACTTAGCTGCTGTTCGATTTACATGAAAAGAATGATTCATAGATTCTGGTAATAGGCTAATTAAGCATCATATTTATACGAGCTAACACTTTATGGGGCTGGATTGACAAGTGGTATAAAACCACCCCATAACTAAAGGAGGAAATAAAAAAAAACAAATAAGTTCATGATTTATAGTGCAACAAGAATACATATTTAATTTTTGTATGTACCCAGGAACAGGTTACATACACTAACTCATCCCCAACTGATCCTTGGTGAACAAGCTCATTCAATGTGCCTGTTAGAGGAATTGCGCAGGAAGTATTATATAACAATTATTTTAATTAAATGGCGTAGACGCCTTTGGAATAATATAATTGAAAGAGACAACAGAGTGATGTAAATATATAGGCATAGCAGTGAGCAGGAGGTGAGCCAAGTCAGGTTCTCATACATGACCAAATCATCCTCCATGTCCTGTCCCATTTTGGTCTCTATGGGCACTTCTGTCACAGTTTGAAATAGTTTACCTCTGTACACAGCTTATTACTTGTGTAAATGTGTATTTCAAATTAGTATATTTTTAAGTAATGTTTAAATTGTAATTTTCTCTGAGTGCATACCCTAAAATAATGAGCTGTTCATGCCTATGAATATTCAAAAAATACAAGAAAGGGCTGCGCTTGGATAAAACTTTAAATAATACTGAAAGTCCAGATAAAATCAATGGATAAAAAGAGAAAGTCTTATCTGGCAATGTCCGTTGAAATCGTATTGTGTAATGGTACTTGGTCCAAAACAGTAGTCTTGCTTACTATCTTCCTTATGGACCGTCTCATATGCAAGAGATAAAAACAAATACAGAGCCAAAATAGTGTAGTATATCTTGAAAAAAGGAAGTTAAAATGTAAAACTTGATTGCAAACTCACATTTAAAAGAGCTAGAACCTGCTCTGGTATAGAGGGCGTACAGCGGTTTAGATCCCCACTTGTAGGATATGGAATGACTTTCCTTTGCGTACTTCCTCCTTCCGTAATATGAAAGATACTCAAATAAAAAGAGACAGCCAATAGTGTTCTCTGCGTAAAACTTTGAATAAAATATATAAAAATAAAAGTGGATACTCACAAGACAGGAGCAGGTCAACTGCTCCTGGTAGTTCGCGTTGGTGGTATAATCCCCACCTAGGATTACTTGGAGTCCAGCGTAATTTTATATATTAAAGTATATTTGGTAACCTTTTATCGTACCATTTAATCTTTTTATACACATATATTTATTATTGTTACCTGGCATCATTCCTTTTTATTCGCTGGACTCCAAGTAATCCTTGGTGGGGATTATACCACCAACGCAAACTACCAGGAGCAGTTGACCTGCTCCTGTCTTGTGAGTATCCACTTTTATTTTTATATATTTTATTCAAAGTTTTACGCAGAGAACGCTATTGGCTGTCTTTTTTTATTTGAGTATCTTTCATATTACGGAAGGAGGAAGTACGCGAAGGAAAGTCATTCCATATCCTACAAGCGGGGATCTAAACCGCTGTACGCCCTCTATACCAGAGCAGGTTCTAGCTCTTTTAAATGTGAGTTTGCAATCAAGTTTTACATTTTAACTTCCTTTTTTCAAGATATACTACACTATTTTGGCTCTGTATTTGTTTTTATCTCTTGCATATGAGACGGTCCATAAGGAAGATAATAAGCAAGACTACTGTTTTGGACCAAGTACCATTACAGAATACGATTTCAACGGACATTGCCAGATAACACTTTCTCTTTTTATCCATTGATTTTATCTGGACTTTCAGTATTATTTCAAGTTTTATCCAAGCGCAGCCCTTTCTTGTATTTTTTACTTTTTTGTGTTTTATTCTAAGGGTTCTTGAGGGATTCCCTTATAGGGTTGCTGCTAATCTGTGTTATTTAGCGCTCACTCATTGTTCTGGTTTTTTTACTATGAATATTTAGAATGCATAAAAAAATTCACCCCCCAAAAATAAAAATTCCACTAGTCTTAGGCAAGTGAAAATGAAGTCCCAGCAAGAAAAAAATACACCTCTGGTGAGTGTGCCATGGACGTGCCAGGCTTGTAATGGAGAGTAACTTAACCCTTTAAGGACTGAGCCAAATGTATAAGTTGTGATCAAAACAAAATGTAAACAAACCTGGAATTTGCGCCATATACGTCTGTTAAGGTGTAATTCGCCTCTTTCATATTATGTGCACCCATAATTATTATATATCATTTTATTCAGGGGAAACGGGGATTTTATTTAACATCAAATATTTAGGTATGAAACAATTTAATATGAATAAAATATAAAAAAAAATGGGAGAAAATAAGAATCTTTAAAAAAAAAAAGTTCTACGTGACATTTTAACTGTGAATGTCATTATACTGTTTGCTCTTACTGCAATAAAATACACATTTGTATTCAGCGATGTCTCATGTGTAAAACAGCACCCCCTATGTACAGGTTTCATGGGGTTTTGAGAAGTTACAGGGTCAAATATAGCATGGTATATTTTTCAGTTTTTTCACATTGAAATTCGCCAGATTGGTTACGTTGCCTTTGAGAACTTATGGTAGCCCAGGAATCAGAATTAACCCCATGATGCCATACCATTTGCAATAGTAGACAACCCAAGGTATTGCAAATTGGGTATGTGCAGTCTTTTTCAGTAGCCACTTGGTCACAAACACTGGCCAAATTTAGTGTTAATATTTGTTTGTGTGTGAAAAATGCAAAAAACTAATTTGAATTCCAATTTTGGCCAGTGTTTGTGGCTAAGTGGCTACTAAAAAAGACTGGACATACCTCATTTGCAATACCTTGGGTTGTCTACTATTGGAAATGGTATGCCATCATGTGGCTAATTTTCATTCCAGGGCTACCATACAGGCTCAAAGGCAACGTAAACAATCTGGCGAATTTCAATGTGAAAAAAACTGAAATGCAAGCCTTATATTTGACTAACTTTTGAAAACACCAAAAAACCTGTACATGAGGGGTACGGTTATACTCAGGAGACTTCGCTGAACACAAATATTAGTGTTTCAAAACAGTAAAACGTATCACAACAATTATATCGTCCGTGTTAGTGCCATTTGTGTGTGAAAAATGCAAAAAAATGTTACTTTCACTGACGATATCATCGTTGGAATACATTTTACGGTTTTAAAACACACTAATATTTGTGTTCAGCTAAGTCTTCAGAGTAAAACAGCAACCCCCCATGTACAGGTTTTATGGTGTCTTGGAAAGTTACAGGGTTAAATATAGTGCTAGCAAATTAAATTCCCTGGACTTTCTGTCTGGGTTGTCAGGCAGGTCCCGCAAATTGTAATTAATAACATGACCTAACTATGTAAAGTTAAGTACAAAGGACGGCGGGGACATGCTATGCTGCCCTCCGGCGTTTAGAGCTAGGTCCCCAAGGGCAGCATAGCACTCCCGCCGTCCTTAAGGGGTTAAAAAGATTTCCACTGGAGTCTTCCTTTATTTGAATAACAGTTTTGTAGATATACTCCAATGAAAACATGCATGCATTTAATTATTCATTCTTTTTATTGGGTTATATCTAAAAACCTGCAAATGGTGTACATCTCTTGACTACAGCCTTTGCAAGCCCTACCCTACTAACTCCACCCAGACTTTCTATGTCCAATCACAGACTTCACGATAAAGCTCAATGAGAAGTCTTTGCAAGGCAGGTGCTCTGGGGAAGTTCTGCCTCTTGAACAGGAACAGGATTGGTTGTCTGACAGCTGATTAGATGTAACAAGGTTAATCTATTGAAATCAGGACTTTTTTCCTCTTAATTTTACAAAAAAGAAACCTCTTTGGAAATAATGCCTTTAAGGCCAAACTAGTTGTGTAGGTCTTGAAATGTTAAGTCCTGATTTATGGGATAACTAGTTGAACCCCCACATCAAAGAATGAGTGGAACTGTGCTCAATAAACTGAAAGGATCCATGCCATGGCTGCCATTAGCCTGTTCACAGTTTTGAAAACAAGACTGTGAGTAGCAATCGCCTAATAAAAAAACATGTTATTTGAGATGTTTTTGGGATGCACTGCACATGTCTTCAAACTCACAACTTCAATAGAATTGTAAGAATTACTCTGAGGTCACTAGGATTATAAGCCACTGCGTGCAGTCACATTCTAATAGGGGCATTAGATATAAGCAATTGCAACCTTCTGATTTACTGAACCAAAAGCATTCTAACAGATAGACCATTAGTATTTCTAAGCAACCTTCAGATTTATTATGCTTAACAAAGAAAACATATCAGCTTCTCACTTACTTTTAAAATTAAACTTTACAGTAGATCGAGCTTTGTTGTTGTTTACATTTAAAGTGCCATTTTGTTTACATTGTATATACATTTTTAAAAACTTTAAGTATAAAAAACACAGTCTGACAAAAAAAAAAAAAAAAAGCGCTGACTGCATTCATGTTAAAACAAAAACGACAACAAAAAAACAGAACAATGTGCATAAATATACTAGAAATATTAATGGCTGGAAACCTGTATAGCTTGTACAAGGAAATTAAGTTCCCTCGCAATAGGCATCCTTTTAATATTCCAAAAGCACATTATTTTTATGTATTAACTTTTTCAGCTGGGATTTATAATAAATAATGGAGCAAAGTTATATTTCGGTTCACCATGGGAGAATGTATCAAATCAATAACATATTCTGATGTACACAATAGCAACAGTCACGTTGGTATATACTTACAAAACAGAACATTAAAGAAAGTTCCTATTTTCAAGCTATTTTAAAACCTTTATTTATTCCTACTGTTACTGTACATTATATTCCTACATATCTAGTGTTCAAGAAAATATAAAAGAAAAAGAGTATGATTTTACTGTATTATTGAAGAATGGATACATTACCTGCCACTCTTTGCATGCTTCATGTCTGGATAACCCAAAAAGTGTGATTGCATTGTACAACTGCCAAAACTAGAAAAACAAACAAAATACACTTTAATACAATTTAGTCATTCACTGTAAACAATGCTAGCGCATAAGAAGACAGGCAATTTTGCAAAATAGCAAGTGTTAACCGCTGTTCAAACTGGTATTGTACATATGTAATGTAAGCTGGCCCCCTGCTGGTTAGAGAAACATATTGTCAGTGTTTCAAACTTTGCTCCTTTCAAAGGATGGGTGCGTATTATACAGTGCTTTTGTTTGCAAGAACAGAACATTGTTCAAGCTCCAGAGATCAAAGTATGTGGATGTCATTCACTGAAAAACTATTTTTGTGAAGGGAATATTAAACTGCAAAATTGGTCTATTTTTCAATTTTGTTTTCCAGTCACTATCATTTGATGTTTAGTGAAAAAGCCCTACATGTTGTGAAACTCCAGTAGTTCCAAAACTTGCCATAGTGATACCTGCTTTCTACTTATCGCCTATGCAATAGGAATTTGTATACAAGACGGTTATTAAAATAAGCAGCCATGCCCATACCTGTGCAGACTACGCCCAGAAGACAGAACCCATAAATGTACAAGCTCAAGAAACAGAAAAGGTTAGGGGACATTCTAAGCTCCACTTGAGTTGAAGCAAGAAAGTCTGAAAAGTAACTCTGCAGCAAGCAGATAACCATTTCTATTATAAAGGTAGGGACAACTGTACTAGCTCTTACTAACCAATATGTGCTGCATTAACCCAGACAATTGAGGATTTATCCATAAACATGCTATGTTCTTTGGGATTCATTAACTGCCATCAGCCTGAAAGAACAGTGCCATGCCCTATACCAGCCATGGAGGAAGCAAATTAAATGCAAGCTCCGCAGAGGCCTGACTACTACTTCCTGCTGCTGGGAAAATTCGTCTGTAAACAGAATGAAGGAGGTGGTATGGGAGAGAGAGCACAGACCAGCATCCACAATGGCAGCCTTTCAGAGCAGCTTAGTGTGGTTGGTGAAAAGGTTCTGCACGCTAATTATTAGCCTCCCTGAAAGGGACATTGCAAGAGCAGTAATGTGGTGTCTACTGCCTCTTCCTGGAAGACATGTTGCTGTAAACATGGCCTTTTCAGAGAAAAGGCAGTGTTTACATTGTTCCCAAGGGACACCTCCAGTGGCAGATTTTTTTAATTTTAGTAATGAATCAGTCCAAACCTGGCAATTGTACATTTTGCACCAACAGAAATCTTTGACAAAGGCTACCCAGAGGAGGTGAGGATTTGTTTTATGTGCATTGAAAGACACTATTCAAGCAGATGCATTGATCATTGCTGTAATTTATGCAAATTGATTCAGCCATAAACATCTAAGCTCAGGTAGACCATGATGTGACATCCTTACACCCTAACCCAGGCATAGGCAACCTTCAGCCCTCCAGATGTTTTGGACTTCACCTCCCATGACATCCCACCATTATGGGGGATGTAGTCCACAACATCTGGAGTGCAGAAGGTTGCCTACACTGCCCTAACCTATGCAAAGGTCATAAGCTCCTTATGATGGTGCCTGATGTGTCCCTTTAATTGTTTTAAAGGGGCAGCAAAGTAAATCTTTGCTTAAGGTGTCAAAATGCTTGGACTGGCTCTGCCTAGGGGAGAGGGTAATTTGCACAATGCATGCCCTGTACATGTCTCTCTATATAGACAACAATTGCTGGCCAGGACATCCCAGATTAACACTGGGTTAAGTCTTGTGTCTCCTCTGTCTTAGTAGCTGCAATATCTGAGCATTCAATTACTTTTCCCATTGTCCTAAACAGCTTGTGATACTAGGAAGAGCCAACCTCTACTGTGATTACATGCCCCAGTATGCACTGCATTTTTGTCTAGACAGATGGCACTTTTGCTGTGAGATTTAATACAGTGACAAAGGTTATATACACCTGCCAGATAAGTAATCTGTTCTTCTATCATATCACAAATTTATTTCCATACCCATATTAATTCCTTGCCTTTAGATAAGAGCCTGACAGGGCAAAAGTACATGTATTAAATGAATACAAACATTGTACTGGTTTTCAGACCGAGTTAGCTGACCCTCCTTAATACATACTTTGTCACATCAGACCACGGATGTGACAAAGTATGTATTAAGAGGGCTCAGCATACCCGAGGCAAGCTAAAAGGGGTTCCGGTGTGATCAGCATGAAAAGCAGACTTATCTGCCTTAAAACTTTCTCATTTTACATTAGATCACCAGAAAATACAAGCTCATAAGAATAGAATCTAAGCAGAGGGACATTTCACATTATAATATGCTCCGCAGATAATTCTCCAAATGGAGAACGAAAATGACGCTGAAAAAAATAAACAATCAGACTTCCTTGCCAGAACCCCATCTTGACACATGAGGACTGCTTTAATTAGAAGAAGCAAACCTCGCTGACAAATGGCAATATTAGAGCACTAATGAGAGACTAAGTTGTGATGATGACCCATCTGCAGTGTGGGAGCATTTATCTATTGTAGAAGACGGTGCATGCTATACTTTAAAATTTATTGGCATCTCCTCATAGCTTTGAATACAATTGATTGGCCAGAGTGGATCTGCTAGAGGACAACTGAATAGCAAAAATGCATGGACCAGAGGAGGTTCCAGCATTACAATCAGCAGGTAGATAATCCCATATGAGGATTACGTATTTGAGTAAGAATACAGAGTGACTTTCAAATTTAAGGCCACAGTAGCAGCACTGAAAGCATAGCTGGCTTAGAGAATGCTTCGGCTTTGGCTATTTTTACCTAAAATTTGATACATGCATCATCCTCTACAATAATAATAATAAAAAGTGGAAGCTGGCTATCCAACATCAAGGAGATCAACAAAGCGGATACATTTTTCCCAAACTGTAAATAATAAAGAGCTTGCTGAATTGCCCAATAGAGTATGTAATATATGTGATCAAGTGTCCCTGTGGACAAGCATATATTGGTGAAACAATATATCATTTAAAAATCATGATAGGTGAACACCGGAGTAATGTATGCAATCATGTACAATCCTCACCAGAAGAAAAACATTTTAATGAACATAAACATGCAGTGTCCCAACTCATGTTTAAGGCAACTGAACATGTGAGACCCCTGGAATAGGTGGTGTAACAGAGTCAGGCGGCTGAAACCGAGAGCTGTTTTGGATGTATGAATTGCACACATTACAACCAATAGGTCTTAATGTGGAAAGGGATTTCTCATTGTTTTGTTAGAATATCATTCTCTGGTTTTCCTATGTTCCCACATTGTCGTAGTGTTTTTGTTTCTACATAGTATTATTATACTGGGTTATTTGTACTTATTGTCCCTATGAATTTCTTGTGTCTTTTTAAGTTTTCACCATGTTTATGTTCTTTTTAAATTAATTATGCTTAGTAGGCCACTTTTGTACGTCACTTCATTGATCACATGTGAAGACTTTGTTTACTGTTTGTGTCCTTTTGGAGAATAGTGGTTCTCTTCCCCTAGGGAGTTATTGGGAGAATCTTCAATGCTCCCCATAATAAACGATTAGCTATGCCTTTAAGATGATTTTTTTCCTAGGTCTGTTTATTTTTGTATTTTCATTTAAGTCCTTTTCCCCTTTATTATTTTTGTCTTATAACTTTTTTGAGGGTATGTATCTATTTGATGATATTTAATAAGAACAGGGTTGTCTTATTGAACACATAATGGTTACCTTCATGAGTGCTAATTCTATTATAGAACATTGATGGGCAATATATCATTTTATATTGAGGTTAAGGAATGCATTATGGACGAGTGTTAATAACATGAAGGAAACAAAATAATCTGGTTTATTTATTCATTATATATTTTTCTTCAATTGCATCTACTTTGATAGATAATGACTCATGCATAACGACACTGGGACTCTGCTTTATTTATGATTGCATGTATTTTATAGTATTATTGCACAATTGTTTGTCTTTTGAAATACATTTTGGCCAGGGGAGAGTTAATTTAGCTACATTATGCATGTGGAAGCATTGTCTGTAATAGGTCACACTTATACCCCAGAATTGTTTACTAATCAAGATTTTTGTACGTCTTTATGTGTGTTTATCTATACATCGCTATCTATCTAGATGGTTAGCTAACACAGAGTATTCACTCTTTGAAGAAGACCGGTAGAGCTGAAACATCAGGGTGTGGTGCCTACTGTCACTAAACTGTGGTATGTGAATATTTTCCAAACCAATATATTTCTTTACTTGTATGTGTTTAAATGTGTTATTTGTTTATTGTTTCATTTGTGGTTCCAAAACCAGTCCTCAAAGCACTGCCAGTCCAGGATTTAGGAATTACCCAGTTGTGTCAGTTTTTCATTTTTTTTTTTTTTTTAGAAAAAAATCACCTTAGACTCAAATGGGTAATCCAGGACTGGTAGGGGTGCCTTGAGGACTGGTGAAGAAACCACTGGTCTAGCCATCACGATTTGGCCCGTCTCAAAGTCATTCAGATCCTTTCTGCTTCCAAGTCTAGTGATGTCGCGAACCGTTCGCGAACTTCCCGCGAACGGCTCGCTCCGGTCAGCTGACACATCCCGGCCAATCTCCAGCAGACCCTCCCTCCCAGAACCTCCCACCAACTGGACAGCATCCATGTTGAAGGCAGCTTCAACATGGATGCTGTCCAGGAGGTGAGAGGGTCTGCTGGAGATTGGCCGGGATGTGTCAGCTGACCAGAGCTCGCCACGAACAGTTCGCGACATCACTACTTCCAACAGATGAAATCCAAAACGCACTGTTTACTTGTTTCCCGATATATCACACACCACTTGACAGGTTCCATTACAAGAATATAATGAATGTTATTCACTTCACCTCTCAGTAGTTTTAATGTTGAGGCTGATCAGTGTATGCTGCTCAGTTAAAAAAAAAAAATGGGAACAACAACAAAAAACAAATACTCACATGGCCAAAAAACAGGAATGGGAGAAGAAATGTCAGTCCTCGCCACATCCAGGACTGAAATCCCTCTAAAAAACAAACAAACCACAGAACAGCCACTTAAACATATAAACTGTAGCAAGCTAGTTATAAACATATTTTATGGTGAGTTGAAAGACACTATAATAAACAAGACAATAACTTCTATACTTTGTTTTGAAGTCTTTCTTTTAACAAAACAGTCTCTGGTCGTTATTTTCTCTCAATCAATAAACTTCTCTCTTGCATTGCAGTCTAGATATCGAGCCAGCAAAATAATTTTTGAACATTTTGACTTATCAGTCTCAGCTTCAGGACTAAAGGAAATATACCTTTGTATAAGTAGCTCTTACATTGACATTAGCAATCTCCTTATTTTACTCTCTGTTGCCACTTAAATGAACACACATACTAATCAGGTAAAACAGGATATTAAAACTAGTTTATGGCAGGCAGATGCCAACAGGTCCACTATATCTAAAAATAAGAATTTGGAATGGATGATAAGCTTTCGGGAGATACTCCATTCCTAAAGTCTCAAGCATTTCTGAGAAAACCAACACCGATAATTCAAAGTTAAACTGTGATACAGTGGTTAAAGTGGCATGAGAGCAGATAATACACAGGTCTCATGATTCATGATGGAAAGGGGGGGAAGACACCATTATTCCAGAAGGTAGTAAATATATACGTGTGTATATAAGTATTGTTGTTTGTGCATGGGTGTATGTATGTATATGCATTGATGGTTTTAACTCTCCCCCTTGGAATATCCCCCACTAATTCTCCTCATTCTCTGATACTTACTCAGAATATGTATGACTCTCTGGAAGATCGGCATCTATTTTCTTTTTTTTTTTCCTTACATTGTCTGAGGTCATGTTGTTTTAACGTCTATTTCACAATTTAACTTTGAAGTCTGTCTTTTTGCTCAGAAATACATTAGACTTGAGAAAGAGAGTATCTCTCAAAAGCTTGTCATTCCAATATTATATTGGTCCAATAAAAAAAGGTATTACAAGATACTAATCACACAATCTCTACGCCAAGACTATATTTATACATAGTAATTGCACTTACCCACAGTAAGGTCTAAATGATTCCTTTCGCCTAATGCACGTAATCTATACAGGCAACCACTTTGATAATAGTACTGAAGAAATTGCACACAGCCTAGAAGAAAAGATATACAAAGAATTAGAATATATAATTATTTCCTTCCAACCAGTGGAAGGCAGTGTACTTCACATCTTATCTTCGTTAATAAAGCTCAAAAAAGAAAAATTATAGGCTGGTGTTCTATCAGTCTGCTATACACCGGAGGGGAATCAGCTGGATCCTGTGCTGCACATGCTGCTACTCCTCCACAGCAAGGTACTGGAAGGTAAGTAAAACTAGTTTTACACTTTCATTATAGTTAGTGCATTCACTAAGCTTAGGCACACGGGACATTTAGGGTTAAGTGAGGGTACAAATTACTGTTAGGTAAGTGCTTCTAACCTCTCTCACACTATTCTTACCCTAACCCTTGGGGTAAGGGTTACAATAAAGTGTGAGAAATCACTATTTAGTGATATTCCCCTAAAGTGAAATATCACTAAATATGAACAAATCCCTAATCCTAACCCCTAATTTGAACCCTAACATTAACCCTAAATGTCCCATGTCCTAAGCTTAGTGAATGCACTAACTATAATGAAAGTGTAAAACTAGTTTTACTTACCTTCCAGGACCTTGCTGTGGAGGAGTAGCAGGAGTGCTAGCACCCATGTGCAGCACAGGATCCAGCTGATTCCCCTCCACGGAAGTGACGGGGGTATAGCAATCTGACGGGGTAAAGCAGACTGATAGAACACCGGATAAAAAAAAAATACTATACAACTGTGAGGTTTGTTAACAGTCTATATCTTCCCCATTAAATTCTCTCTCTAACATGTAAATTAATTTCAAGTCTCACAAGCAGAAACTACACAAATTAAATTTAATGTTATATAAATCCACTTACTTTGATATATAGAAAATGCCAAAAATTGATTGCGAAACATCTGATATATGAGACCGTTGGGCCTAATAAAAATAATATATGCGTTAGGCTTAAACAAAAATAAATTTCAAATATTAATGCAACATAACTCATGAAGGTAGTGGAACTCTAAACTGGAAATGAAAAGAACAAGTTTATCCTGTACATTATTTTCTAATTGTTACAAAAAAAAGTTTCTATACTTTTTGCACATTCCTAAACCTCTAGATTCTGTTAATGTTACAAGGCAGTTTTCAGAAGGATGGAAGTGTAGATTACAGATCCACTGTATCCTCAAACAGCCAGAATGAATTCATATCTCACTCAACAACGATTATCACAGATCCCTGCCAGTCATAATTTAACAATACCTTGAGAATCTACAAGAGGCTGGGCAATCCTGGTGTAATTGTTCATAGTTCAGCAATACTTTCAATTATGCCAACCTATAAATTACACAATTTCCATGGGTGTGTACACAGGGCTCGAGTCCTGCAGGAACGCATGGGAACGGCGTTCCTGCACTTTTTCCAAAGCAGGAACGCCGTTCCCGCTAGTGATCCTGCAGGACAGGTGTTCACAGGGGGTGCAACGTCGCTGTGCTGCCTCATTTCTCCCAGTCCCCAGCACAGTGCCGCCCACAATGCACTGTCTGCTGTTGGTGGTGGTATAATGGCTGTCACGATGCAGGAGATGTGCCTGCTCACACTACTCTCCCCCGCGGTAGTTTACTGAGGAGTGAAGACTGCAGTGGGCGGGGCATTTTACATCACTTCCTGTCAGACCCTGCTAGAGGATTACCGAGCAGGGAGAGCTAAGAACATCTCTTTTCAGCTACTTACACCACCAATGGTAAGCAGCCATGTTTTATTTATTTTTTCATGATATAATTATGTATCTAGCACAGAGCTCCACAGAGCTAAATCTTATAGTTCATGTGGAGCTCTGTGTTTTATTGGTCCAACAGTGCCACCTCACTTCTATTCTTCTGATGCTTCCACTCCCCCCATCACTAGCAGCCATCCAATCTCCCCATCACTAGCAGCCATCCTTCACTCACCCCTATCACTAGCAGCCATCCCCCATCACTAGCAGCCATCCAATCTCCCCATCACTAGCAGCCATCCAATCTCCCCATCACTAGCAGCCATCCTTCACTCACCCCTATCACTAGCAGCCATCCCCTTCTCCCCCATCACTAGCAGCCATCCAATCTCCCCATCACTAGCAGCCATCCTTCACTCACCCCTATCACTAGCAGCCATCCCCTTCTCCCCCATCACTAGCAGCCATCCAATCTCCCCATCAATAGCAGCCATCCTTCACTCACCCCTATCACTAGCAGCCATCCCCTTCTCCCCCATCACTAGCAGCCATCCAATCTCCCCATCACTAGCAGCCATCCTTCACTCACCCCTATCGCTAGCAGCCATCCCCTTCTCCCCAATCACTAGCAGCCACACATTCTCCCCATCACTACCCACCATTACTCTCACCCCTATCACAAACAGCAATCCTCCTCTCTCTGTTACTAGCAGCTATCATCCTCTCTCCCTCCCATCACATGCAGCCACCCCCCTCTCTCCCTCCCATCCCTAGCAGCCATCCCTTATCTCCCCCTATCACTAGCAGCCATCCCTCTCCTCCTCTCATCACTAGCAGTATATGTCTGTTTATGTATGTCTCTGTATGACTTTCGTCTGTTTGTCTCTGTATGACTGTGTGTAAATCTCTGTATGACTGTGTCCATATTTATCTGTCTAACTGTGTCTGTATGCCTTGTTCTGTATGACTTTATCTTTATGTCACTGTATGACTGTGTCTTCATGTCTCTGTATGCCTGTGTCTTCATGTCTCTGTATGACTGTCTGCGTGTCTCTGTATGACCGTCTGCGTGTCTCTGTATGACTGTCTGTGCATGACTGGTTGCTTGTATGACTGTGTTTGTTTGTGTACCTTTTATGACTATGTGCCTGTATGGTTGTGCCTTTATGCATGTATGTATTTGTACCTGTATATCTATGTCTGTTGTGTTTGGGAGGAAAAAGCCAGGCAAAGGGGCTCGTGGTGGGAGAAAGAGACACAGAAAGTGGCTGGGGGAAAGAAAGAGACACACAGAGGGGCTGGGGGGAAGAAAGACACAAAAGGGCTGTGAGGAGAAAAGACACACACAAAGGGGCTGATGAGGAACTAAGAGAAACACAAAGGTTGTGGTATGAAGAATGAGATATACAAAGGGCCGGGAGAGGGAACACAGAGTGTGTTGGACCCCCGTGTGCACCGGCTGGCTCTCTCCACCATACCACCGGACCACCAGGCGATCTCCCCCCTCCCTGGCAAGGTAAGAAGCAGGGAAGGGGGAATAAAAAAATATATATATATAAACACATAAATTTTAAAAAAAAATGCTTCCCCTCCTATCATCCAGCACACGCACACATCATCCAGCACACACACATCATCCAGCACACACACACACACACACACACACACATCTTCCAGCACACACGCATCTTCCAGCACACACACACTGCATTCATTACACACAATCTGCACTTACTACAAACACACTACATTCATTATACACACTCTGCACTCACTACACACTGCATTCATTATACACACTCTGCACTCACTACAAACACACTACATTCACTATACACACTTTGCACTCACTACATTCACTATACACACTCTGCATTCATTATGCACACACTGCATTAATTGTACACACTCTGCCAAGGCTGCCATCAGAAATTTTGGGGCCCCTGACACAGTTCAAAGTGTGGGCCCCCTGGGCCGGCCCCAAGTCTGCCCCAGCAGGTGAACATATAGATAGCTATAATCACTATCTATATGTGCACAAATGAGCAGTCCGGGCCCCCAGGACCGTCAGGCCCATGACACTCTGCACTCACTCGGCCCTGCACTCTGCACTCACTACACACACTGCATTCACTATACACACTCTGCACTCACTACATTCACTATACACAATCTGTACTCACTACAAACACACTACATTCACTACACACACTGCATTCATTATACACACACTCTGCACTCACTACAAACACACTACATTCACTATACACACTGCACTCACTACATTCACTATACACACTCTGCACTCACTACAAACACACTACATTTATTATACACACTGCACTCACTACAAACACACTACATTCATTATACACACTGCATTCATTATACACAATCTGCAATTACTACAAACACACTACATTCATTATACACACTCTGCACTCACTACACACACTGCATTCATTATATACACTCTGCACTTACTACAAACACACTACATTCACTATACACACTCTGCACTCACTACATTCACTATACACACTTTGCACTCACTACATTCACTATACACACTCTGCATTCATTATGCACACACTACATTCATTATACACACTCTGCATTCACTACAAACACAATACATTTATATACACACTCTGCATTCACTACAAACACAGTACATTTATTATTCACACTGCACTCACTACAAACACACTACATTCATTATACACACTCTGCATTCACTACAAACACACCTCATTCATTATTCATACTCTGCACTCACTACAAACACACTACATTCATTATACACACTCTGCATTCACTACAAACACACCTCATTCATTATTCATACTCTGCACTCACTACAAACACACTACATTCATTATACACACTCTGCATTCACTACAAACACACTACATTCATTATACACACTGCATTCATTATACACAATCTGCAATTACTACAAACACACTACATTCATTATACACACTCTGCACTCACTACACACACTGCATTCATTACTACATTCATTATACACACACTCACTCTGCACTCACTACAAACACACTACATTCACTATACACACTCTGCACTCACTACATTCACTATACACACTTTGCACTCACTACATTCACTATACACACTCTGCATTCATTATGCACACACTACATTTATTATACACACTCTGCATTCACTACAAACACAGTACATTTATTATTCACACTGCACTCACTACAAAACACACTACATTCATTATACACACTCTGCATTCACTACAAACACACCTCATTCATTATTCATACTCTGCACTCACTACAAACACACTACATTCATTATACACACTCTGCATTCACTACAAACACACTACATCATTATACACACCCTGCACTGCACTATATGCATAGGAGTGTAAATGATTTGTTTTTGGGGGGGGGGCAGGAATCTTGGGTGAGTTCCCACACTTTTTTCCCCAGGACTTGACCCCTGTGTGTACACACACACACGGTATTTCTATTACATGTTTTGAATGGTATAAAGATAATATTTAAATATATATAAAATGCACGCACACTGTATTGCTTACATCCAGACCGCTCATTTTATCTTCAAAGTTGCCTAAAGTCTACATTTAAAATTAACTTACCATGTTAACATCACCCCTGAAAGAAATGTTGAGACATAATGGTGGGAAACCCACCACCCTTTTATCCTACAGGAGATAAAAAAAAAAGAAGAAAAAAAAAAGTGGTTTGAATAGTGTACATAAGCATTTCATTCACAAGCTACTTATAACACATAGAAATCTGTCTCAGCTAGTTATCAGAAAGGGTAGAAATCAGGCAGTGTGGCAATAAATTAAATAGAAAATGTATTTGTACTTAAATTGTAAACTTTGTTTTTATTTTTCCATGCACATCTTTTCAGTGATCCATGTATTTTAGTTCCTATTTGTGTTGAGCTCTGTAAAGTGTTCCTGCATTTAAACCAGATTATATCTAAGTGACAATGTGGTTTCAATTACACCTTAGCTAGCAGGCTGAAACATGACCGAGTAGGTATATTAGCATTTGGCTTGACAGATTTCCTTAGAATATAGAAGCCAAGGTCTAATGTCAGTATTAGCAAAATTTGCATTAGCTTCACACATAGCCCTGATTAACCACACTCACAATCATACATTAGCCACTTTCATTAACATGCCAAACTAGACACATAAATGCTTGCACAGATACAAGCAGCTTACCTCCATATATTGAAGAACACATACATATACACAAACAGCCATAAACTCATACACAGGCATTCATTTATACAAACACATCCAGTTATACATAGAGATGCATATACCCTCACATATATTCATTTATAAAAACAGACATATACATTGGCACACAATTGCTGGTCTCATTATTTGCATTTTTTTGTTGTTGGATGATAATCCAACAAGAGATTAAGAACAAACTAACTATACATTAACACGTCTTAAACAAAGATGGTATTATTCAAATAATAGAGCAGGTAGAGCTCTAACAAATAAATTAAAAGCCCAGGATCAAAGAAATAGAATTAAACAAATAACAAATGAGGGAGTGGCTTGTCTTTCTCCTCTCCATATCGCCAGGGCTTTTAGAGCATATTAAGAATCTCTATATAACCTACCCGAACCCAATAAATCCAACTTAGATATGGAAGATTTCTTAAGATCTCTACAACCCCCCAGTACTATCTTTAGAAAAAGGAAATATACTTGATAAACCTCAGATACAAATTAGGAACGCAATTAATGATATGAAGGGTGTGAGGGGAGGTGTCAGGTCCCATTGGCTTTACAGCAATTTTTTACCAGATCTTACAACCTAGGATTACTCCTCTGTTGGAATGCGTGTATAGTGCCATAGTTGGATCAAATGGATTTCCTCAAGAAATGCTCAAAGCCACTAATTCACCTATTTTAAAAACAGGCAAAGGCCCTACTAAGGCAACTAATTATAGACCAATCTCATTAATTAACATAGACACAAAAATATATTCTAAAATCCTGTCGCAGAGATTAAACGTCGTAATCTTAGATTTAATACATCCCGATTAAGTGGGCAGATCAGGGGAAGATAACACCCGCAGAGTCATTAACATCATAGATGAAATCCACCATAAGAAAGCCCCATCTATTATTATGGCCTTAGACACCGAAAAGGTGTTAGACAGGGTAAATTGGAGATTTATAGCTCAGACTCTGTGGGTGTTTGGACTTACCAGTCCATTTGCTAAAAGGACTATGGCACTATACACGCTTCCCACTGCAAGGATCACTGGTCCTTTCTTCAATTCTTTGAACGTGAAAATTCGAAATGGCACCTGTCAGGGTTGTCCGCTAGCCCCCCTCTTTTATGTTCTTACAGTGGAAACTTTGGCGGCCCTATTAAGAAAGACAGCTACAACTAAAGGAATAATGGTTGGACGACAGGACCACCTGGTCTCCCTTTATGCAGATGACATTCTTCTAACGATATCATCTTCAAAACATGAAAACTTAATTTTTCAAAAAAACTAAAATTATGTCTTTTTATATTTGTAATTCTAATTATCTATTTTTAAGAGAAAGATATACAACATTAAATTGGTCTTATAAAAAAAAAAAAAAAACATTTAGGAATTAAACTCTGCTCAGATTCAAAGTCCACGATGTAGAAAACCTACATGGATTTGATGATAGATTTTAGGGAGACAGATAGGTGGAGGGGTTTAGAGATCTCTTTGCTCGGACGAGTAAACATACTTAAATCATATCTGGTCCCAAAAATGTTATATTTGTATAAAACTATTCCGATCCCAGTTCCATTTAATATAATAAAAGAAATGGAAATTCTTTTGTCTTCATATGTGTGGAATGCTAAAAAACCAAGAGTTCCTGGTTATGTTCTCAAGAGAAATATAAATTCAGGAGGACTGGGATATCCAGATCTACATAAAATTCACGAAACATGCATGCTCTCCCTTCTATTTATGTTACACATTAAAAGAAATAAAAATCTGGGATGGTATAATCTAGAAAGGAGTAAATGTGGAAGGACTGATCCCTATTTTTATTCTCTGGCTGGACTATGAACATTTTAGACAACTTAAAATATCAAATCATATAGTATCACCATTGATGACCTGTTTTTTAAGATTTAGAAAGAGAAGTGAAAAGGGACAAACCTTAAATCCTATTACTAGAGCTAGTCCTATTTTGTCTCTTCCAGTGTATATAGAAAATATACATACAATGACAAAACGATACAAAAATAATTTTAGATCTTTATGATAGTAAATCCTTAAGATCTTTTTCCAACTTGCAGGAAAGGTATGCCCTTCCATCACAAGAAATATTTAAATATATTAGGATTAACCCCTTCCCGACTGCGCACATATCAGGTACGTCTGGCAAAAAACGGTCCATTAAACCCCCCACCCCCTCCCTTTCTAAAGGCAGTGAATCATGGGACTTCTGGGGGTGTCCCTAGCATGCCTCATCATAAGGGGCAGTCTGGGGTCATCCAATCACAGCTTGCCCCATTAGCAACTTCCCCATTTCTCTGATTAGTGTGGATCTGCCTCCCTCTCTTCACTTGTGTTTTAGTGAAAGAGGGAGAGAGATCTGTGGTTTAGCTAGAGAGATTTAGGTATTTATAGGTAGGGATTTGTAAAATCTTGAGACCCAAAGGCTCTTTTCAGAGCCATTAAACCCTGTCTTGCCGGTGATCACTATACAGATCACAGGCTCTTGCACAGCAGCACTTATTTTGCTGTCTGTTCATTTTTTTAGAAGTTTCTTTTTTTTCTTTTTTTTGTGACAGGTCACTAAGTAAAGTGATTGTGATCATGTCACATGGGTCACGGAAGTCAACCAGCACTGAGCAGTCATATGCCATCCTTGCGCCGACCCTGATTTTGACCCTGCCAGGTGCTCAGATACATCATCACTAGATACAGTGTCTGCTGCTAGTAATGAATCTAGTCATGTTGTATCTGTGCCCGCTAGAAGGAGACGTGCTGCTCCAGCTGGCAGAACTGCTGAGGAGTGGGTAGTGCCTCATCGCCAGAGGCCAGACATCCCATCCTTTACTGTAAATCCTGGCATTAATTTGGTGTCACAGGATTTAGCCCTCAGCAGTTTATGGAGGTGTTTCTGGGCGATGATGTATTGGGGAACATTGTCGCCCAAACTAATTTATATGCCCATCAATTCCGAGCTACAAATCTTGACTCTTTTTTGGCAAATCAGCAATGGGCCCCCATCGATGTGCCAGAATTTAAAAGATTCTGGGCATTGACTATGCTGATGGGCATCATAAAGAAGCCCTCCATCCGCTCCTACTGGAGCAGTAGCCCCATCTGCTCTACCCCCATTTACTCCCAATGTATGTCGAGGAAGAGGTATGAAATGATTCTGCATTTCATGCACTTCAGCGACAACAGCCTGTGTCCCCCTAGGGAGCATCCCCAGTTTGACAGGCTGTATAAAATCCGCCCCGATTACCCACTTCGCTGCCAGGTTTGCAGAGGCTTATACAACTGGAAGGAATATAAGCGTGGATGAATCCCTGATGAGAAGGCTGGGATTCAAGCAGTATGTTCCTTCCAAGCGCTCTAGGTATGGTGTAAAGATGTATAAGCTCTGTGATAGCGAGACTGGGTATACTCAGGCCTTCCGGGTGTACGAGGGAAAGGATAGCCACCTTGACCCTCCAGGTTGCCCAGAACATATGGGAACCAGTGGCAAGATTGTCTGGGACCTGATATTCCCCCTGATGAAGGGTACCACTTGTATACTGACAATTTTTATACAAGTGTCCCTTTGTTCAAGCTACTCTACTGTTTTGATACAGTAGCTTGCGGCACAATCAAAAAGAACAGCACAGGTTTCCCAGGACAACTTGCACACACCCGGCTACAAATGGGGGAGACCTCAGCTCTGCGCCAAGAGGAGTTGTTGGCAGTTAAGTACGAGGCAAGAAGGATGTGTACCTTCTTACCACCATCCACACTGAGGGGACTGTGGAGGTCCCTGTATGTGGCAGAGCTGAGAGAACAAGGAAGCCAGTGTGCATCAAGGCCTATAACCGGCACATGGGTGGGGTTGATCTGGCAGATCAGCTGCTGCAGCCCTACCTAATTATACGAAAGACAAGGGCCTGGTACAAAAAGGTTGCAATCTACCTAATGCAGATTGCAACCCACAAGTTTTCTTGTTGTTCAAAAAAAGCAAACCCCGGGACGCAAATTAGATTTTTACAGTTTCAGCTCCAGATCATTTCGGGGATTTTGTACCGTGATGCACCTGCTCCCCGGGCGGTGATGGGAGAGAGCAGAGTTGGGGCTACACATTTTATTTTTAAAATTCTCCCTACTAAGGCAAAGCAGAATCCCCCAAAAGGATGCAGGGTCTGAGAAAAAATAGTGTATATCACTGTCCTGATTGCTCTGGACACCCTGGACTCTGCATTGGAGACTGCTTCAAATGATACCACATTTTTTAACATTTTCAGTTTTCAGTTTTTTTTGGTGTCTTTTTCTTTTCTTTTTTTTGGTTTTGTTACATTTACCCTATGCATGAGGGGCATGGGTGTCCTTAGGAGGCCTTGCAGAAAACAACCTGGGGTGTTTTCTTGCAATAACCAATAACGGGCTCTCCTAAATCACAGTCAAAAAGCAGTGTGTAAAAATGAGGATTGAACAGTTACCTCCACACACGTTCAACTTTTTTGACTAAAATGATTGCCTCTATAGCATCAAAACACTCCATATACAATACTGCGTGGTGTCAACTTTTCAAATATATGGCAAGAAAATACATTGGGATATCTTATTAGGCCCCCAAAAGGAAGATAGGCAAACAAGATATGTAAAATTTGAAAAACGCCCCAGTGAACCAGACACACCTATGCATGGGTGGTATCGCTGTACTCTGGAGATGTTGCCGAGCACATATTGGGGTGTCCTTTGGCAGTAACACCTAACAGGAGCTGAGAATCTATGCCCAAAGTGGAATGTGTGAGTGAAAAGTAACACCACAAAAACGTTTCACAGAGACTGGTGGTAGAATTAGTGTATGTAAAGTGTTGAAATGCCACCATGTGAAATGCCCTAGGGTGTTTACTTTTCAAAAACATACGGTTTGACGGGGGTGAATTACATTGGCCGGCTTCAGAAATGTTCCAATTGGGACATGGGTGCACGATGACCAGCTGTGTTTTATTTTTCATCATATTTTACTTTTTTTTTCTAGTAAATTATATATGATATGATGAAAATAATGGTAACTTTAGAATGAAGATTTAATAGTGAGAAAAAATGGTATATAATATGTATGGGTACAGTAAATGTGTAAGATGCAAATTACATCTAAACACAACCACTGCAGAAATGTAAAAAGAGCCCTGGTCCTTAACGGTAATAAAATTGAAAAATGGCCTGGTCACTAAGGGGTTAAACATTTTCTTGCTTCAGATCTAACAAGTCATCAAGGATTAATAGACATACTTCATACTAAACAACTTAATTCTAAAACAATTGCTATACCGGCAAAATTCTAAATAAGAGAACTGACTTAAATAAGTCTAAAGCGGTTTCCAGTTGGGAGAGAGAATGTGATTTGGAACAATGCCTGGCGAATCACGAGAACTGCCATGCATTGTATCAGTCTACATAAACAATACTTCAAGTTAATACAGAGATGGCGTATGGTTCCTACACGCCTTGCAAAGTTCGATACAAATTTAGATAATTTATGTTGGCGTTGCCAAAACTATCCAGACACACAAATTCACATCTGGTGGGAATGCCTGAGACTGGCTCCTATCAAAAGATTTATTGAAGAACAACTTATAACCCTCTTCTCATTAGAATATAGCCTTACGCCACAAGCTTTCCCGTTTCATATTAATTTACCTGTTCCAGGAAGGTACAATAGATATCTATGTGTTAACATCTTGGCTGCAGTGAAAATGTGTTTAGCTAGACATTGGAGAAATACAATCACTCCAACAAGTATCGAAATAAAAACTCAATTACATTTCCAGAGAGATTGGATGATGAGAATTTGACTATTTATTACACACCAAGGTTCAAAAGCAAGCAAATTTATTAAAACAAAGTGAGCAGAGCAACATTCCGACCCACAAACGGGTCTTTGTCTTAGACATATTGTGGTAACTTTTATACCAACCTGAGTGTGCTTCACCTTTCTTTTTTTTATATTGTATCATGGTTTACCTCCATGCAGTCAGGGGGCCCTAATGTGTGGCAGACAGGGGACATACATAAATGTAAGTACTTGTCTGCACACTATTAGTAAGAATTACACTGAGTGGCAACCACCATTTGCATCTTCCACAAAGGCAAGCCACTATTTACAGCCAAGTGAAATCCTATTATATCCAGCCCTAACAAGCTCCCATGTTTAGTAATAGTGTTAAGTTCATTCTAAGTTTCATGTTGCATGCAAGATAAAAAGGGGGAAAAGACAAATAAAATTGGCAAGGACTAAAAGCTTCTCAATGCCTTCCACATGTATTGAATGACTAAGCTGTTGGATGCTCTATATAAACACTCACCTTGAGCCATTGCTAATCAGGATACTCTCTCTTATTGTCAGTGTGCAGTAGTACCAGACCAACAAGAAGTTAAACAGTTCATCTGTCACTCTAAAAAAGAAGAAAAGAGAGAATATAAAATACAAACTGTGACTAATGATCTTGCCCTTCCCTGTATCCTCCAACTCCTGAAATGTTTGAAATATCAAAATGGCTGTCAAAAACAATTTGTTTAACCCCTTGAGTGCCAGGCATATGACCAGCCCTTTAGAAAGAAACGTGTGCAGCACAAATTCAGCACTGACAGGGTCGGAAATATATCGCAAATTATGTATTACTCATTATGTGTAATGAGTTATACTATTCCTGCACGAATACAATAAATTATTCTAAAATGTAAATACATTCAAATATTGGTAACAATGTTTTGTATATTGTACTGTATGTATTACTTATATTTGCTTGTAGAGATGAGGTATCAAATGTAGTTTGGACTTACATAGGATTACTCCTATAGGTCCAATATCGCCTCCTTTCTCCGTTCTTGTAAACGGGGATAAGAATGAGGCTCAGCTTTATACAGACTGATTATTTGCCTCACTATATTTTATATTATTCAATGTATAAAAGATTTTTTTCTAAATAAAGTATAATCCTAATAAAAAAATGTTACAGAATAAAAAACCTTTAGATAACAATATAAATCTATGTTAGCCAAGTTTGAGCATAATATATACACATACAGTTTCACTATGGTCTAGTAATGAACACAATCTTTTAACGATAATTGCAGTTTTGCTTTTCCACGTCAAACCTTTGTTCATGTTACATGAACTAAGCAATTTCGGTTTAGTAGAGATCAAACAGGCTTATTTCCCTAAGAAATCATTCCATTAAATTATTCTGACAGAATGGCAAACTACTATGGAAAGACATGGATGCTTGCCAGAGAAGGATTAAGATCCTGCAGGACCTTAGGAAGGTTATCAGTTTGCTTGCCCCCTCCCCCTTTGTTCTTCACACAGAGATGGTTAATGAGGCAAAGCAAATTCATGGTTCTGGGTCCCTGTCGAACCCCTGGGCCCAAGGCAGCCACATCTTGCTCTGATGCTTTCGTGAAACAGCAAGTGTAATTTGTATTAATATATCTGTTGGAAACAATTACATAGCATACCTGCTACACACTTATGAAAATACTAGACCATCATGGAGGACAGCTGTGAAACCCTTGTGCCACAAGAGAAGACTTCTCAGCCCTAAAGATGCACCTCAGACACAGTAGAATGACAAAAGCCCTTGTATACTGCACCAGGGTGTCTCTTAAAATCCCACCCCTCCACCCTCTCCTGCACCCTGAAGGCTGATAGCAAGACAGGAGCAGAAAACTTCCCCATCCTCTATTCATATCTTAGGAGTGGCTTCCGTACGAGGCAGATGGAATATCTGGACCAGAGATTGTGTTTAGAAGAATAGATTCATATGTGATCAAAACGCATGTGCAAAAAGGAAGGATATGGGGGAGAGAGGGGGGCAGAGTCTGATCTCCAAGCCGTCTAGACACTATGGCACTTGAGCTCCTGCATGCTGGGTTAAAAACCAATATATTTATACCTGCATTACCACTGCCACGACTCATCCTGTGCCCATCTCAGTTCAGAAAATCTTGGGCAAGCTTTACAACACCTCTACCAATGCTGTACACTGTCGGGAGCCAGAGACATTTAGCTGTGGCCTGCTGGAGACAAGGAGAGGTGGCCGATCTCCTAGCTCTTGAGTTCGTGGCAAAGATCAGCAGAACTGCACAAACGAGTGAAATGTATACCCAGCTTGGGTGACTGCCCTGAGTTCCTCCTCATGTGCTGCCCAGATGTGTGGACACTGTGCCCTCCCCATCTCTGGCACTGCAAACCTCCTAACAGATCTGATATTTTCCTTAGCATGTTTAAAGGGACACTCCAGGCACCCAGACCACTTTTGCTCATTGGAGTTGTCTGGGTGCCAACTCCCACTACCCTTAACCCTGCAACTGTAAATATTGCAGTTTTCATAAACTGCAATATTTACATTGCAGGGTTAACTCCTCCTCTAGTGGCTGTCTACTAGACAGCCACTAGAGGGCACTTCCTGGTTTGTAGCACAGGTTTTCTGGGCTATAGTGTCGCTGGATGTCCTCACGCTATGTGAGGACCTCAAGCGTCGCATTAGGTCTCATCACGCCGTCGGCCGCGCATGTGCTGACGGCAGGGGCGGTCCCTAAACCACCACCGAGGGACATCGGTGGTGGTCTCAGGTAAGTCACTGAAGGGGTTTTCACCCCTTTAGCAACATGGGATGGGGGGTGGGAGGGGGAACAACAATTTGTTTTCCTGGCACTGGAGTGTCCCTTTAACATTGTTCCTGCTTGCTCATAACCTCCACACGGACACAGTTTACTCCATCTACTGCTAGCACTCTTATCTTGAACCTGATAAAAAAAATGTGCACTTTCTTCATTTGCCATGACACTGTATCTACCTAAGATTTTGCAATATGCTTGTCAATTCTGTCGTGGCATCACAAGCATGTGTGTTATTCCTTGCACTATGAAAATAAAGAATTGAAGAAAAAAAAAAGTTAATTAATTATATTGCACAACAAAATATCAAAACCTAGGGAATCAAAAGCTAAGATTTGTATGGATCTTGACTCTTGAGATTAAACATGTGCCAAACCAGTTTCATTAAATGACTAATTTACTGCCTACATGAAGGATCATCCTAATGATTACCACAAGAATTAAGAATTACCACAAAAGTTATAATTGATTTCCTATCTTCTGAGGTCAGGACACCTTCCATTATCATAACTGAACTGCCAGACTTAGAGCTAGTAGTACTTGACTAAAATCTACGCTCTACAGCTAGGATACAATGGTTGGTAGAAATACAGACATTCTACATTACATTTCTAGAAAGCACACTTTAAATCAACTTGAATGCTATGTTAACAGTATGGCTGAGATGTTCATATATGCTAAATTGCTTACTGTATGAATTAAAAGATAAAAATCATGTGATCAGGAGAGGCCGGCCGACTCCAATGGCTGCAGGGAGACAGCGGGGCCTGTCAAGCAGTCGCACATTTCATGACCTCCAGGAGCCTTCTAGCTATTATAGCATCTCTTGCAGGATTTTAAACCCAAATCAGGCTCAATCAACTCTTGCTGACCTACCTTAGGTCTGGGGCGACTACTCAGTGTTCGAGACAGCTGACACTGCCTCTGTCGCTGGATACCCACCGACACAATCCTGCGGCCTAGTCGCATTCTGGCACAACAGGAGTGGGGCCGATCCCTCAACCCTGGTACCAGAACCCCCGGCAAACTGCCCTGCCCCCCACACCCCCTCCCTCCCCTCGCTGCTGGAGAGGGATATCCGGGCACGCTCAGTCACCTACTATCAGCTGGGACTGACCTGAAACCATGACCAAATGATCAAAGGGAACAGCTCCTATACCCAAGATGGCGACGGAGAGCAACTCCACAGGGCATGTAGGGACTGCCCTCAGCTTTCAAGAGACATTCGACAGCATTTGTGCAGCCTTTTGGGACCGACTACGACAACGGGAGTTTCCCGGATTAAAGCACTCAACTGGCGCTGAACACGAAGCTGGGCCGGCCGTTACTACCACTCGTGCAGCGCCGGAGAGACCACAAGACCCCTTGAAGTGGTACCAACCTGGCCGTCTACAGAGACCACCATACTCCCTGAGGGGGTGGAAAGCTCAATATGAAAAGGCCTGGTACAAGCGACGCATATTTGCTCAATGAGGCACCCAAGAGGCGCAAAGCACCAGGGCCGTTTCCCGCCTCGCCTAAACCCCTCACACATTATAGGGACTGTTCCGGAGAAGCTCTATACCTATGTGCAATCACCCGCATGGAAATCCCACCTGGAAGCAGTTTCCATCAGCACCATCGGGTACTCCGCTGGAATCGGCCTTGCGCAGGGCATTGGCTAAAAGGACTCACCTGGAATACTGTTCCTCGTCCAAGTGGCAACTTCAGGGACTACTACCCCAAGCATTATATACTTCGCCTGCCACCCACATGAGGACTCCAGAGACGCGAAAGGGTATTCATTTGCCACTGTTCAGTCCTAGTTTGATGGTTTTATTAGCATGTTTTATCCCTTTCACACCTTTCTTTTTCTCTTTTTATTTTCACACATAGACCGTAACCTAACACGCTGCCTGTACTAAGCAATATCACGGACATGTTAATGTTTTAACTTACCTCTTCTATCATCAGGTCTATGACCAAACAGAGTTTATCAACTTCCTTTCACTAGTTAATTCAGACATACTGTTTAGCCTGTACTCTAAGCATGATATACAATAAAAAAATGTGCAACTTATGTGAATGCCATAATACTATCTTGTACGTCTTATCTTTCTGTTTGCTGAAGCAGTTGTTATCTCTTTGCACGCTATAAATAAAGGAATGATTAAAAAAAATATATATATCTATATATATATATATATATATATATATTAAAAAAAAAGATAAAAATCGTGTGTATGGATGATTGCGGGCTACCATATTTCAGTGTTACTTGCAATCACCAAAAAAGAAGAGTGATTTCTCACCTGTAGTAAAGCACAAACCGGCATGCTATGGCTCCCAGGAGCAAGATTATTGTCAAGTAGAGTTTGAATTTTTCATATTCATCTTTGTATGCAAACCTAAAAATACAGAAAGTTTCTTAAAATAGTAATCACAGGGACAAGTGTTTTTTTTTTTTTTTTTACAACTACTAGAGTTCAAAGGGAACTGTAATAAATGAGATTCACATCACTTTTCACAATTGAACGGTCATACATATAAACAGTCACACACCTGTTACCATCATGTTTATTGTAAGTCCCTTAAGACTATTATTTTCTTAAACGTTTTGGATGACACAATCTCTAGTAATGTGATCATTAGATGTACATTGCACAGAGCTACAAAACTACATCATGTTTGCAGCTGTTTACAAGTTTCAGACTGAATGCACAAAGCCATCTAGAGTAAATTTAGTGAAAACCATCCAATCACGCCTAAGAAACATACCCGTGACAGCTCGCTGTAGCGCTAATGCTCCCTAGTATGCCCAAGTGACATCCTCAGAAATATGACACCATATACAAGCTGTTTGGCGTAAGTGCCCAGAGAAAGCCCTCTCCTCCATTTCTTTGAGAATGCGAAATTTATAATTACTCAATATTAACAAGTATTTGGACCAACATGCACATCACTGGCATAGCTAACCTTCTCATGTTACTATGTAGCTCTGAATGTGAAAAAGACAGACTTGTGGACATGATATGAAATATGTAAAATTACACTTACTTTGCTTGATTGCTTAGAAGGGTGACATTCACATTTCCAAGAACCAAGTTCAGGTACAATCTAAAAAAATGAGAAGTAGAAATACTATGTTAACAGACACAGAGGACATTACTTTTAGACATAACAGACTGTTAGATGCATTATTTTTTTTTTACCATGAAAGCTATATGAACATTATTTAAAACATGCATGTGAGAAATCTGCATCAAACTCTGTATTACAAGATTTAATTCTGACATAATGGCTGCAAGCAATCCCTGGGAATTATTTTTCCACTTTGTCCAAATAGAGGCCAAAGTACAACAAGAGCCTAGAGTGTAACGGACTGTGAAGACAGACTAACATTGATCATAATACTCAGAATACAAATCCAAGTTTTGCAAATGTTGACTTTACCAATATTTCTGTCTCTCGACTTCACTGATTGAAACAATCAGACATAGGGAAACAAAATTCTAAGCAGTATTGTTGAAAACTTTATTATTAAATAATATTTTTATCCTCTGATCACTGCCTCTACTTTGTTTTATGTACAGCTTCAATGATATTATGTACATCTTCAACAATATTCCATCACAGCTTTTATGAGTTTATTATAAAGATTTATTCTTCATGAAAAACTCAAAGGTATAACTTTTCACTGAAGCTTGAATGCTAGATCAGAATATAAGCTAAAAAGTACTGCCATTCACATTAGCCACAATTGTTGACAGAAGATGTGACAGTCATCTTCTTATGCAGTGTACAATAGATGATTATGATAAATATATACAACACTTTATGTGAAAGATGCCTGGGGTCTGTACATGCACAAGCAAAAAACGGATTATATTAAACCTATATTGGATACAGTTAGAATTCAAAGTGAATTAGAAAAATTAAGACTAAAATAGCTGAAATGTGCCCTTATATTTTAAAATCACTTTTAATATCTACTTTAGTAAGTAGCACTGTTAGTAAGCTATATTAACCTGTGCCCTTCCTGATTTTCAAGAATTGTCAGTCACATGATGGTATTTGCCTTGAATATCCTGCTAGGTGTCACTTAAAAGGCAATCCTTTGCTTAGAAAGTACATAAAGCACATTAGAGGAAGAGTCGATACACCAGAATCACTTTATCTTAATGAAGTGATTTTAAGGAAGACGCAATTTTGGTAACCTTGCTGTTAAAAACAAAGTGGTTTCTAAGAAACACCGAAGTTTCCATTTTGCAATTCCCATGACTTTAATGACTGTCATTCAGACAACCAATATGGTCTTCAGGTTAAAATAGATTCAATAATGAATCTAGTTTATGCACTGTGTCAGAATGAAAAGTAAGCTCAAGCTGGCTTACCCACCCAGCTGGGTGAGTGTACAATGCTTCTCTATGAGAAGAAAATGAATTGTCGGATCTTTATGAACTGTGTGTTCACAGTTGGATAAATCATTAAAGGAATTCTATAGTGTAAAAAAAAAAATACAAAGTTGTATTCCTTAACACTATAGTTACCTCTGACCAGCCTGGCACTGCAAGGGTTAAAAACCCTTTTAACACTTACCCGATTCAAGCGCCGATGTCCCTCATCGCTTGGTCGGTGCCCTGCTTCCTCCACCAACGGATGCGGTGGGGATAATTTGCATATAAGGCAAGTGCCACCAACACATTAGGCATTCCCCAAAGTAAAGCATTCCTGAAATGCTTTCCTACTGAAATTTTTACAGATGCCGGAGATCCTCATGCAGAGCGTGAGGAAGTCCTGAGTCAGATAGGCAAACAAAAATCGCTTAGCCACCTGGAAATGCCTCTAGTGGCTGTCTGATTGAGGCAGTCTTAGTTATGAAAATGTAATAATTTACATTGCAGGATTCAGGGGTACAAAGACACTGCACCCAGAGCACTTCAATTAGATGAAGTGGTCTGGGTGCCTATAGTGTCCCTTTAAACTTCTAAGATATCATAGTAGGGTTATAAATCTGCTTACTGGAGACTGCTCTGGTGCTGGAATGAAAATACTTTTAAGAGTTATTTTTAATAATTTTTAGGATTATATTAAAAAAAAAACAATGCTTTAATTCAACAGTATTAATATATACACATGCCAGTATATTTTAACTTACCCATTTTTCTTTGGCAAATAAGCCTCCATATCAAAAAACACATTGTGCCGTTCTTTAATTGTGCCGTCTATCTGTTGGATAAGATCAGTCTCTCCTAGACTTGCAGAGTATTTATGCCTATAAGTGGACAAAAAATAAAAAAAATAAAAAATAAAAAAGTATTTTTATTCAAAATGGGTCTATCCAAACTAAAACATTCTTTAAAAAGGTATGCACTAACACTATAATAGACCAATCTAGCTGTCACTATTGGCCATGGTTAGAAGGTATTCCCAAAAGCCAATTCCTCCGTCTTTATCGTAACTGCTCACAAATTAATGACTTTACAGTTCAATCCACCTCGCTTAAAAATAAATTTATTGAAAACAATTATTCAAAAGAAAAACTAGACACTACTCTGAATACAGTTAAAAGTCAAGACAGCCTTATTAGAATATAAAAATACCAAAAAAGACCCACCGACATTACCTATCATTTTGGATTTTAATAATAAAAACAAAGTTATAAAAAAAATAATTAACAAAAATTGGCATATTCTTAAACAAGATGACCTCCTAAAAGACCAAATTCCAAATAGACCCAACATTATATTTAGAGGAGCCCCTAGTTTTAAAAATACTCTTACAAAAAACTATACCAGAAACAATATACGTTTTTAATAAGGATTTTATGACAAAACCTAAGGTTTTTTTTAGATGTAACAGATGTATTGTGTGCAAAACTACAAACTCATCTACTATTAAATCAAAGACTACCCATTTTTCTTCAACAAATACAGGTAAAACATACCTTATAAAAGATTTTATTGGTTGTAACTCTAAGAATATTATTTATCTTTTAGAATGCCCTTGCGGGCTACAATATATAGGTATGACCACAAGGTGTTTGAAAACTAGACTTGCTGAACATTGCTGTAACATCATTAAGGTTTATGAAAATCATTCTGTATCTAAGCACTTTATCAAACATAATAAAATCCCTAAATTACTCATATTGTTCAATGCCCATACATTTAACACCCCGTGGAGAGGGGGTGATATGCGAAAAATTCTTGGGAAAAAGGAGATGGAATGAGTATTCCATTTAAAAACCCTTTCTCCAGAAGGTCTCAATCTTGAGTTCGATCTTTTTAACTTTTTATAATATTTCTTATAATAATTTATTACCATATCAGTGTCCCTTTTTCTTCTCCATATATTACATTCATTTGCCTATATTTCTATTATACTTTATCTCCTTCCTTTTTATGTTCCTCTCTTATTTGTAACCTATATATATTTTATCCATTTGCCCCTTATTTATATTTATATTTTTATTATATTTTATCCTTTCCTGTTTCTAATCCATTATCTTTTAGGATACTTACCTCCCTATTGTTCACATAAATTTTTAATTTTTTTTATATTATATTTTATTTTCATTCTTATATTTTCTGTTTAGATGTTCTTTTCCATCATAACATACATTTGCTTTTAGTCATTTATATGTTTTTATTTATATATCTCTACCCCTGGTTAAAAAAACGAGCTATTCGCTCGTTTTACTACATTTCCCATCTCCCCCCTTGCAGTCACGTTTTTAGACGCGGATTTGTTATTGGGTCCGCCGCGTCACGTAACCGCCGAAACCCGGAAGTAAGAGATCCTACATTTCCCATCCTCCCCCTCTGCACCATTGCGTCTTTAACATTGTGCTATTGGCTGCCTTGCGGTCACATGACCGCAAACTTTTATAACTTCCGGTTTTCAAATACACTTCACATCTATTTGTGTTTTTTATATTCATTATTTTATACGTTTTATATGTTCTTTAGCCCATTACCAACCTTTTGAAGTTTTAGCAATATTAAAATAACTTTTTTTATAATTGTATTAAATTATTATTTTATGCATAAATTATGACGTCATTTTGGCGCCAATTTTGAAATTGTCAATGAACCTAAAGGTTATTTAAATCATTGTGAACCAGGTCTCTGTTTCTTAATGCCAGTTGAAAAAGCCCTTGAGGCGAAACGCGTTTTGGCTATATTATATTTCTTATACTATCTTAGATTTTATTAATAAAGGATTATTGGCCTATATTTTACCTTTTATCCTTAATATTACTTTTTTTTATTTTTTATTTAAAGTTATTTGAATTTTTTTATTTAGTTTTATTTATTATTTTTTGGACCTGGTTACTTTTATTCTATACTACTACCTTACGTTCAAGAATCCCAGGTGGGGATGATACCACCTACGCCATAAGAGTGAGCAGTATTTCCTGCTCACCCAAATGTGAGTACTTTATATATATTTCACTTTTATATAACTACCACATTGATACAGTGAGCACTATCCTGTGTTATCCTATTCTTTCCCGAGGACCTCTGCTGCGTACATTCGTCTATATCCCACCAGTGGGGGACCAGTACCACTGAATGCGAAGCACACCCGAGCTAGTTTTAGCTCTATTATAGGTGAGTGCGATATTTTTTCACTTCGAATCTCCATATAAAAGCGGAAGATATATTCTACACTATTGGATTTTCCTCTCCCTATTTTCTTTTGCATATTGCCACCTGGAACAAGACACTCCATCCATTTCTTCAACTTTATTGGGACTGTTTCCTCCCTCCAAGTGGACGACACTATTCCCTGCTCATTCTTAGGACTGTTTATCCATTTCCTTTTTGTATGTATTGCTATTTGTAAGTACTCATTTCATTTTTTGCATGTGTTTTATGTGAAGAGAGTTTTAGTTTTTATTAATTGTTACACTACTTTTTTACCCTGTTATATTTATTTATTTATTGGCGCGACCTAATACCCTTTTTATATTTTCTATCTCTCCGTCCTTTTAGGTTGCTGCCTGTTTGTATATTCTACACTATTCCATTGAGACACTAAGCGCTGAATCCACTACCATTCTCACTAGAAACTTTAGAGGCTGGATTAACCCATTTATAAACATCAGTTTCTCTGAAACTGCTATGTTTATAAAAAAAAGGGTTAATCCTAGAGGGACCTGGCACTCAGACCACTTCATTAAGCTGAAGTGGTCTGGGTGCCTAGAGTGGTCCTTTAAACTCAATCTCTCTAAAACTGATTTTCTTAGGTTTCCACCTCATAACACTGATCCTCCTCCTTCACTCTCGCTGCAGGCTGACAGAACCTGCTGCACCCCATCCTTTCAAGATCGCTGTCTTGGTGTCACTTTTGATCCTGGCCTCACCTTTGCGCCTCATGTCCAGGGTGTTGCTAACACCTTTGGGCCTCAAATCCAGTCTGTTGCTAAAACCTATTGATTCCAACTTAAAAACATTGCCCACATACGCCCCTTTCTTACGCAAGATGCTGCCAAGGAGCTTGTTCATACTCTAGTAATCTCTCGCATCGATTACTCTAATTCTCTCCTAATATGTCTCCCCAGAAGCCGTACTGCCCCCCTACAATCTGTGGTGAATGTTGCTGCCACCCCTCCTCTCACCCCTTACCCCTCTGTCAATCCTTACACTGGCTTCCTGTGCCCTACAGGTGTCCATTTAAAATACTAACCATAACCTATAAAGCTCTAACCAACTCTACCCACTCTTACTTTCTTCACTGATTCATAGGTACGCCGTTTTGGCCAATCAGCACTTGTTCATAGAGATGCATTGAATGAATGCATATCTGTGAGGCAAATTCTGCGTCTCCCTGCAGAGCGTGGAGACGGTGAAGGGCAGTGCTGCCTACTGTGCAGCCCTAATCCAGGAAGCATCTCCAGTGACCATCTGAGGAGTAGCCACTTGGAGGTGACTCTAGGAGCAATGTAAACACTGCCTTTTCCCTGAAAAGACAGTGTTTGCATGAAAATGCCTAAAGGCAATGATTATACTCACCAGAACTACATTAAGCTGTTTCTGTTGTGGTGTCTATAGTGTCCCTTTAATACTTCAAGGAAAACTTCTAGCGGTTTCTTTCCATTGCTCTTGATCAGGAAATTCCTTACATATGTTGAGATGCAATGGCAATAATGATTTGTAAACAAGATAATTGTCTGTTTTAAAGATATTCAGAAATGTATCTGGAAAATAGCAGGTATGACCTCTCATAACTTGTAATTTACTTTGCTACATGTATGTACTTGTAAAGCACATTCCCAAGAGGATAAAACAGTTTTAGCTGGAAAGGTCTTAAACAAACTTACTCTAAATAGGAATCAAATTTGTTATGTTGCTTCAGTTAGCTATTACAGGTAAATAATAATAATAATAATAATAATAATAATAATAATAATATGAACGATAATATAGCTCAAAAATGAATCCATGTTGTCCTTTAGAGAGAAAAAAAAAAAACAATGAAACGCTCATGGCAATAACTTAATGATCCTGCTCATGCAGTAGCATGCAAAGAGAAATTTTACAATAGATAGCCAAATTATTTTATTTACATACATTTAAATACAAATAAATACATTAAAAACAAAATATTAAAACAAATCAAGGATTCTATTTTGGCTCTACTAACTGAATTTCCCTTCAATTCACTCAATAACAGAGCCAAGTAGACAGTAAGTGCCAATAATGGCACCATGCAATAATAATAATGAATGTATTTTTTGCCTAGTAGTAGCAATGCATCAGTCTGTGAGCTCAGATGACCTGATTGATGCCTCCACCACCGGTTATGCCCCTCAATCACCTGGATTAGTCTACCGCGTCTAACTGCAGATAAATGTATCTATGTATAAAATACATATTAAAGTGACACTATAGTCACCAAAACAACTTTAGTTTAATAAAGCAGTTTTAGTCTATAGAACATGCCTCTGAATTCTCATTGCACAATTTTCTGCCATTCAGGAGTTAAATCATCTTTGTTTCTATGTATGCAGCCTAACCACACCTTCGCTGGCTGTGACTGACAAAGTCTGTCAAAGTTTAGCTCTGTAAATGTAACTCTAATCATATATAGGAGACTCCTGCAGAGTCTAGCCAGCTATTAATAGAGTAGGAGATAAGAAATTCTAAAGTAAACATAATTTGCATAAAGGAAGTATAAACATTAGATGTCTTTACAGGAAGTGTTTAGGGAGGCTGTGCAAGTCACATTCAAGGGGAATGGCTAGGGCTCTATTAACAAAAGTGATTCAACTCCTAAATGGCAGAGAATTGAGTAGCGAAACTGCAGGGGCATAATCTATACACCAAAACTGCTTCATTAAGCTAAAGTTGTTTTGGTGACAGCAGTGTCCCTTTAAATAAAAACTACCCTTTGATTTACAGTTGGGACCTTGAGTAAAAAAAAACCAAACTGTATAGCATTTCATTTCCAGACTTTTATCTAATGATTACCATAGCTCTTTAAACCTCACAGTATAGCACAGCAGTGTGCAGGTGTGCAAAAGCACTCAATGCTAAAGGTTACTCTCTCCACTATACCTTCTCCATAACTAGCTATCTGTCTCCAATATTAAATCCTCATGGATACCCTTCCATTTTCCACAGAAAGAGCCTGTGGAGATATTTCAGTGAAATATGCTTAAAAATAAATTAAAAAATGACTCCATCTCCCAAAACAACCTGAGGTTTCTTAATGAATTTGCTACAAAACCTATATGCATACAGCATGATTCTATCATTTGAGTCACAGAAATAAAAAAAATAAAAAAACATAATTATTTCCTTTATCCAGCCTTCTTTATTTATCCCCCATATTCACAGATCCCCATCTCAGGGATAAAGATATGGTACCTGGGGAAGGGAATCTCCACTTAAAGGGACACTATAGTCACCAAAACAGAGAAAATGTAGTGTTTACATTGCTGCCTAGGGACACCTCCAGTGACAGTCACTCAGACGGCCCCTAGAGGGGCTTCCTTGGTCAGTGCTGCACAATGTGCAGCGTTTCCATGCAGAGCATGGAGAATCTGAACTTTCTCTTTAGAGAGCATTGATTCAATGCATCTCTAAGTAAAAGCTGATTGGCCAGGGAGGTGTTTGGCTTCACCCCCGGCCTCGCCTCCTTGGCTGAGATCCCATAGGAAAGCATTGGATTGGTTGAGATCATCCATACTAATGATCTTAGTCAAGGAGGCGGATCAGGGTCAGGGCCAGCGATGGCAGACCTGTGCAGCACTGGAATAAAGGTAAATTTGCAACTTATTTAAGGAGGTTAAGGGGGCTAGGAATCTAAATAGTATTTTAACTGACCCTACAATGTTCCTTTAAAAACTGGAGAGCAATTGGATAGTGTTTCATAAGCACCAATGATGTGCATGAACCTTACCTGTGAAGATTGCTTTTCAGATCAGCCAGGCGCCTCTTGTGTTTACTAATGTAACTGCTACAGACACTTTGTAGGCTGTTTAGTTCTTCTAATTTCTGTTTGTACACTTTGTGTGTTTCCTATAAGCACAAAAAAAGAAAAGAAATACATAACAGGTAATTTAAAGAAATTCTAATTAAACAATACACTATACACAAACAAGCATAAGCTAGTGGTTGCCCAATGTCTGGAACAGATACTTATTAGGCCTATTGCAACTGCCCTCAAAGTTAGTATTGTGGCAGCCCTGAGACCTAAGTTCAATGTAGAACAATATAACTCTGGGAACAGTCTAATGACGCAATTTTGCAGAGTTAATTTTCATGTTTTAACAGCTAAAGAACGGGTCACTGCAATTTAAAATCAAAGGACCACAGACCAGCATTTGCTAGTAATATCTACTTTTACTAGCAATGGACAGCCAGTGATAGCCTGAAAATATCAACTCTTGCTCACAGCAGTTCATCGGTTGCCAGCACAGAGTGGGCTATCCAAAGCCCACTTGTGGGTTAGACCGCTGTCAACAATGGTTTAAGCCAAGAAGATAAAATGCCACAGGGGCACTGGATGCCTTACAACAACTTGACTGAGGTGGAGTGACTGGTAGTGTTCCTTTACACTCAGAACATGTGTCAAACTAATCCCATGCATGTAATATTCCATGCAAAAAGGTTGCAAGAGAATGAAAGTAGCTACAATCTGTATACATTGTATGGCGCTCTTGTGGCTTATTTTATTTACAACAATTTCTATAAAGCCACACATTGTAGCAGCAGCAGCAGATGTACTCATTTCTCGCATGCATGGTATTACTTGAGGCAATATCCTTAGAATCAGTCCTGTTTCCAACTAGATATTTCAACTTTAAAGTATAGATTTGGTTTACAAAGCATGACTTGCCTGGGGGTAAACTAACCAGATAAACAAGATTTTAGGGTATATGTTGTCTAAACAGATCTGTATTCCCAGTTCTCAAAACATTGCTGTACATGTGCTATATTTACAGCTGGAACTCTGCAAATAACATTTCATTGTTATCTGTAACCTTGATCTCTCTCCTCTATGTTACTCAGTCTGCATGTTCTGACAATAGTCCCTTGCTTTGAAACTCACAATTTTATTAAAGACACGGAGGCTCTTATTATGAATTCTCTTTCTTTATTATACTCCCAGCAGCAAGAAAAGGAAGTATGAGAGAATCATAGAAAAAACATAAGAGCCTGGTAACAGTGGCACCAATCAGCATCCAGTACTATCCATATGGGTGTGGTGCTCCTTGACTCCTCCTCATTCTTGCTGCTCCCTCAGACAAGTTAAGTACCTCATCTCTTGCTACTACTGTGATTTCTCATGCATTTATTTGTATTTGATTAAAGATTTAAGGATTATGTACATTTATGCTCAGTTCATGCTTGTGTTACTGCTGTTTTTAACCTTCTGGTGTCTAGGAGTGCTGCCTATTGGGGTCTCTGAAACCTCGGTTTTCCCCTCCCCGGTTCTCACCTCAGGGTAGAGTTCCCCTGATTTCCCTGTTGTGCGGTTTTAATTTGGTTCAGCCGGTATTCTTGAGCTTACCTCCGTTTTGTGCCTGCGGTTTATCCGCGATTTTCGGGCGGCTGCGCATGCGCGATCGCCTAGTTACTGGTTTCCATTCCATATCGGCCAGGCATGCGCAGTTCGTGGCGCGGTGGCCATCTTTTTGGTTTCCGTCGCTGCAAATGTAACTTTCACTCGCGGCGGCCATTTTAAATGCAGTTTCGGCGGGAATCTGATGCGTAGCGATTCCTCAGGCTTACAGCGGTTTTCTCCTACCCACCTGGCGCACTCCTAGACCCATACTGAGCTACCTTTGCTGTCTGTTATTATTTGTCGATCAAACCGTAAGTGTGGGTGTGGAGGATTACTCTATCCTGACACCCTTTGTTCTGTTCTTTACCTTTGTTAGTATTATTCCCCTAACATGTTAATTCTGACACTGTTTCCTCCTGAATCAGCCAGCTATTATTATTAGCATTACTTTATTGGGCCCAATATTTTGCCACTAAGTTAGACTTGGGTAATTGGCTAAGCCTGCTGAATCGGGCGAGGGCGACGATTTGCGGGTCCCGCTGGGTAACCCATTATTTGACCCAGATGACCTCCGTCACCCTCGCTCAGCAGAATGGGAGCCGCCTGCGCACATCGCGAAGTACCTTGCACTTAGCGTGCGCAAGCCTTTATCCAAAGAAGGGCATAACAAGCTATGGGCGGAATGCCCACAGCCCATCCTCCCAGACTCAGTGGGAAAAACACCTGAAGTGGACCCCCAATTGGTCCAATTCTTAAAGAAATCTGGTTGGAAACCAAGGAAAGGCTTAGACTTTTCTCTTCGGAACTGCCAGGACAAATTCCTGGACACTATGGGGCCCATCTCTAAGCTATATGAATTAGTGGAATCCGCCCAATCAGGCGAAAACAAATTTGATTTTGAAGTAGCGAAAGGCTGGTTGCAGAGGTTAGTCTGCATGGTGGGCAACACCAATACGGCCATGGCAACCGAACGCCGCAAGGCGATTCTCCTGAAAATAGAGCCTAAACTAGTCAGTATGGCGACCAATGAGCCGGGCCCAGCCGCTTACTTTTTGGTGAATCCTTTATTAAGGATCTTGGGCTGTACGTAAAAACATTTACAACAGGGGGGCGGGGCCTGACTGCAAAGCCGAGCGGTCGACATCCTCAAGGGCTCCTGCTATAGCCCGCATGAAAAGCCGCTTTACACGACCCAAACGGCGACCAACCGGCCCAACAAAGCCAGCAATTGAAAGGGGACAAATATCTGAGCACAAAGATACCCATCAAGCGACGAACCGAGCAATATTTGCAGAACAAGTAACTGAGGCCTACTCGAAAGGCGGGAGCAGGAGAGACGGCCGCTCTCCCCCCCCACGAAAGAAGCCCCTAGTGAAGAAGGGCACCTGTCCCCCCCCTCTGGACCGGTGGGGGTCATCCCGGTCCACCAGCGCCCTAAGAGCACCCACCTCTGGGACACATCACGACACAACGCCGTTCAGGCAAACCCACAAGGCCCAGCTAATATGGCCGACTGTGCAGCCGCTAAACTGATGCAGCAGACTAATGAAGAATGGGCAGCAGCCTTCAATGCGAAATTCGATGCTGTTTGCCTGAGATTCTGGGAACGAATGCGGGAGAGAAGCTCGCAACCGGTACAGAAACCAGCCACAACGGCAGCACGCCGCCACACACCCCCCCGCAAACATGAAAAGCATCCAAGCAAAGCGTTGCCACTGAAAGAGCGGGTGCAGGGTACTGTGGCCCGGTGGTGGAAGCGACGGACGGACATGGACCGCCCCAAGACAACACACAATAATGGAGCAAAGGCGCCAAAGACTCCTGTGGGAGGCTCGTGCGGACCACCCTCCACCCGACAGGGTCATCGCGGCCCACAACAAACAAAGCTCCACAACCGGAATGAAAGCCTGCAGACATCAACTGCCCACCGCATCGCCAACACCGTCCGGACAGATCTAAGAGGCAGAAAGACAAAGCCACCCGTCTCACACCCAGCCAACGACGGCTCCAGATTACAGCCCGGACCAGGTACACCACAGCTACACAGCGCACGCATATACAAGACACAACACTGACGACAGATATATAAGACGGTGAAAGGGAGCTCACACTCTTCTTGGCAGTCTGGACATTACTTATCGGGCATAGGCTGAACTAACAGCACACTGCTACCTGTCAGCCACAAGGACTCAGGCCATATATGTGCCCCAGCTTATTCTCAACCAGGGGTATTTTGTTTTTGTTCTTGTGTCCTTTTTATTATTATGTCTCTGCTTATGTTTTATTATTAAAAACGGAGCTACTTCTAACCAAGAAGCTTGCGACTGGGACCTAGTGGCACAATTGCAGCAAGTCTTTATTAGCTGTTAGCTATATGCATTCCCTCATGCTTTATTTACTGTATTACTTTAAAATGATTAGCAACATGCCTATGTATACACAAAGCTCAGCCACTTTCCCTTAACAGTAGCTCCAGCCATTTACTATTTAGCTTGTAAGTTAAGCATACTATAAAATCTAAAAAATGTGCGATATATACAAATGCCATAACTCTGTTTTATATGACTTGTTATCACTCTGTGTACAGAGGCTGTTGTGGCTTACTGAACACTATGTTATTTCTTGCACTCTATAAATAAAGAATTTAAAAAAAAAAAAAAAAAAAAACATTTACAACAATTGATAAAGCTCAGACTTCTCTTAAGAGAGTATTTGCACCTCGGGTTTTTGGAGGGGCCGTGGATTCGAGGCTCAGTTAGAGACTGCAGAGGCTCCTATTATACCCAGAGACCGGTACTGGAGCAAAACTATACCCCGTTCTTCCCATCTCAGGGACACCCCTGGAATTCCCGCGGACCGCGGGGGGCCGTTTCAGGCAGATGACCTTATGGTGAGTACCGAGTATCTCCTTTTTTCCCCATGTAAAAGTGGGTGGCAGACTGGCATTGTATCACCATGCTTGGAAAATTTTAACCTCAGATGTTTGGGTATAAAATACAAAACAAGGGTACCTATAGGAGATAACCTCTCACCCAATTCAGACGCGGTTCCCTTGGGAACTGAATATGTCCAACAAACATAACACAATGATCTCGGCAGAGGTCGCAGAGTTGGCGTCAAAAAAATGCTATTTTTTCCTGTTATGTAAATCCCATGGGACACAGAAGGGTTCGTGAGCAACCTGTTTCTGGTCCCCAAGAAAGGGGGCGGGATTCGCCCATTAATCAATCTCCCCTAAATGCGTTTATCCAGTACAATCATTTCAAAATGGAGGGTATTCACTGCCTTTGGGACATCCTCCTGCCATCAGATTGGATGGTCAAAATAGATTTACGAGATGCTTATCTGACAATCCCTATCGCGGAAGCGCACCAAAACCTACTGCAATTTCAGTGGCAAGGAATGAGGTGGAGGTTTGTATGTCTACCATTTGGCCTGTCCTCTGCTCCATGGTGCTTCATAAAGGTACTGAAGCCAGTGATTGCCTTCCTGCGCACACGAGGGGTCAGATTAATAATTTACCTAGACAATATCCTTCTTCTGTCCCAGTGTCAATCCCAACTACGTATTCACCTGTCCTGGACGACCCACCTTCTTCAAAACTTAGGATTCTTGGTGAATTGGAGAAATCAGCTCTTCAACCCTCCAGATGCATGGAGTTTCTGGGATTTCAAGTGGACTCTGTTCAACAGAGGTTGTGTCTACCCAAAGACAAAATGATTTTGATTAAGAAAGATCAGACGACTTATGCATCGTACGACCATTTCCCTCCGACAACTTGTGAGGATCATAGGGCTATTGGCATCATCCATACAGGCGATCTTCCCGGAGCCGTTGCATTACCGTGCCCTACAAAGGCTCAAAGCCTCATACCTGCGCTCCGGACACTGGTACGAAACCAGTGTTACACTGGATGAGGATTCCAGAGAGGAGTTGACATGGTGGCTAGCCCACATGGAGGCATGGAATGGAAGAGCAATATTTGGGTCGACACCAGATCTGGTCATAGAGTCAGACGCCAGCTTACACGGCTGAGGCGCGCATTGCAGGTCAGTTTCCACCGGTGGCAGATGGTCCAACGAAGAAACGTTGTTACACATCAACTGCCTAGAACTGTTAGCGGCATCCTTTGTCATTCACAGCATGACCCCCCATCTCATGCTCTATCCTAATAAAGATGGACAACGTTTCAGCGGTGCGTTATATCAACCACCTAGCAGGGACGAAGTCGAGGGTTCTTGCACTGATGGCTCGAGATTTTTGGCATTATTGCCTGAAACACAGCATTTCGGTTATAGCAGAATACATCCCAGGACGAGACAATACACTAGCGGATTGGAATTCTCGATAACTTTGAGACGCAGGAGATTGGCGTCTCCACCCAATGATCTTCCAGCGCCTCTCTGGGGGCCTTTCAATTTAAACCTCTTCGCGTCTCGACTGAACACCAAACTTCCTAGGTTCTTCAGTTGGAGACCGGACGCAGATGCTCCGGCGACAGATGCATTCTTGCAAGACTGGACCAACGGCAGGAATTACGCTTTTCCACCTTTCAACCTAATCTCTCTCGGACCCTGGCAGTCCTTTGATATTCCAGGGTGACTCTAGCTCTGATAACCCCGTTATGGAGGTCACAACCTTGGTTTCCCCAGTTATTAGAAATGTCAATAGATCTTCCACGGCTGTTGCCGGACATACCCTACCTCCTGACCAACCCGGAGGGAAATGGACAAACTGGCCGACCAGGGTCTACTTCATCTGATGGCATGGCTCATTTCAGAGGATCATGGAATCTCGAGGAGGTTTCACAGACAACACTCAGTCTCTTGGCAGAGTCATGGGCACCAGGTACCAGACGTTCCTACGGATCGGCTTGGAGGAAGTGGACTGATTGGTGCATGGGACAATTAGTGGATCCCATATCAGCTCCTATGAAAAAAGCGCCGTACAAGCTCGCTCCGTTCAGATCAAACCTATCCATTATTCATCTCATTCAAAGTACCTCACCTACCAGTATCTACTCCTACTTTAGCTCGTTGGATCAAATGGTTGTTATCCATGGCAGGCATAGGCACTTCAGTTTTTTCCGCACACTCCATTCGCGGGGCTATGGCTTCTAAGGCTTCCTTGATAGGTTGTAGATTGGAAGATATCCTACGAGCAGCCGACTGGTCGAATGAATCTACATTTCGTAATTTCTATTTTCGTCCAGTGCAAGTGCAACATATTTCCAGTTTGGTGGTTGCTCAGCTTTAAAATAGCATAATAGGAGCTTCGGTGTCTATAATAAAATTACCAGATTTTACTATTAACATGACGTAAAGTCATGATTTTATTAATGACACGGAGGCGAGTATTATTCCCACCCACCCTACCCAGGGTGGTGATTAAGTTGCAGGCAAGTCATGGAGCCTCTTTGAGGACATAATACGGTAGGTACGATGTCATACACGGCACACAGGTGAGTAGGTATTCTATGAATGGTATGATACTTATTTGGAATTAATAACATGGTTGATGAGTTTGATAATATTACATTGATTGAATAATTGGTTGACGAGTTCGATAATTACGGAATAGCAGTTTTGAGATCAGATATTACCATATATTTCTTCTTTTTTAGCTTGAATACACCTTGAGAGTTGGCTGTTCAATGTGGAATCCCCAGTTATGGTTTTGTTTCGGGAATTCGTATTTTCTTGTTGGAATGCCTTGGAATTTACAATATTACAGTATGGTCTTCGGGATCTACTCAGAAAGAGGAGGAGTCAAGGAGCACCACACCCATATGGATAATACTGGATGCTGATTGGTGCCACTGTGGCCAGGCTGTTATGTTTTTTCTATGATTCTCTCAAACTTCGTTTTCTTGCTGCTGGGAGTATAATAAAGAAAGAGAATGCATAATACTCGCCTCCGTGTCATTAATAAAATCATGACTTTACGTCATGTTTATAGTAAAATCTGGCAATTTTCATCACACCTGAGATAGCATTTTTAAAATGTTATACTGTGTATTTATGTACAGGAGGTTTTTTTAAATTAAAGAAAATCACTTAAAATATGCATGCAGTTGGGTTTGCATTCTGTCATTGTGGGTATATCTAAAAAAACAGCTTGCAAAACCTGTAGTTCTCTTGTCTGTAGCCTTTGCAAGACCTCCCCTTTTAACACTGCCTAGATTTCCTGTGGCTATCCAATCACAGACTTTCCAATGCAGCTCAATGAGAAGTCTTTGCAAGGCGGTGGCTCTGAGCAGTTGAATGCCTCGAGTTTAGCTCCCCTGAACTAACCAATCCATGAACAGGATTGGTTGTCTGATTGACAGCTAGTGGTAGAACAAGATTAATTCATAGAAAGTATTAAAACGTGGGAGGAAGGGGCATGTGTTTTGTGCCCTGATGGCACTTCCACCTGCATGCTTTCATTGGGTGTATATCTAGAAAATAGTCACTCCCACCCCCTTTTTTTGGAGCGTTCCTTTAAGAAATGCAAATCATTTTTATGAATGTTCTCATTATTATTATTATTATTATTATTATAGCGCCATCAGATTCCGTAGCGCTGTACAAAGGGTGGACTAACAGACGTTTAATTGTAACCAGACAACTGGACGTATAGGAACAGAGGGGTAGAGGGCCCTGCTCAATGAGCTTACATTCTAGAGGGAGCGGGGTATAGTGACACAAAGGGTAAAAGTAGGGGTACGAAGTAAGTTCTTAGAAAAGTATTCGCTGAGAGCTTAATAGGTAATTTTTGACAGTTGCAGGAGAGGAGTCATGGAGGGTGGGGGTGAAAACCTGCTAACAGTTTAATTGATATGCTTTCTTGAAGAAGTGAGTTTTCAATGATTTTTTGAATGAGTGGAGACTGGGTGAAGTTCTTATGGAGGAGGGAAGGGAGTTCCACAGAGGAGGTACAGCCCTGGAAAAGTCTTGGAGGCGAGCGTTAGAGGTGGGAGTACGGACAGAGGATATACGTAGGTCTTTGGCAGAGCGTAGGGGCCTCGACGGGACATACTTGTGTATTAGGGGAGATTGGTAGGTTGGCGCAGCATTATATAGGGACTTGTAAGCAAGCACCAGAATTTTAAATTGAGGACTATACCTAACTGGGAGCCAATGCAGGGACTGACAGAGCGGGGAGGCGTGGAAGGTGCGAGCGGACAGGAAAATTAGCCTTGCCGCTGCATTCATTATAGATTGGAACGGTGCAACATAAAAGGTGTCTACAGAGAATATTTTAAACACATTAAATAGGCTTACACAATTATCAGAGAACTTCATACAAAGAATTAAAAGGTCATGGTTATTGCAGTACATATCACGAACACAGACAGCTGGCAGAGTTCCAATTTTTTCACCTCAACCAAAAGTTGACAGAAGTGAGATAAGTTGGGCCAGAGCCAGCACAGAGATAAAATACAGTTAAAGTAAACCTTTCCTGAGGTTCACATTAAAAACTAACATTTCCTTAAAGAAACATTCAAATGTTATAATGAATACTTTGTTAATAGAATCCAATGAAAACATGCATGTTATTATTAGGGATGTATCTAAAAATCAGTTTACAAAAGCTACAGATCTTCTCACTGCAGAACTCCCCTTTTCCACAGCACAGAGGAAGAGAATCTGCCCGGCTGTTTGACAACTAGGGAAGGGTTTACCTATTGAGTTATAAAAGGGCCTACTTCTTAAGGAAATAGGCAATTGTATCATGTGCCATTAAAATGAAATACTCCTTACCCATAAAGCACTTGAGCAAGCTGAAATGCTTTATGGATGTGGAGTGGTCCATCATTTTGCATGAAGATATTTCTTCAATTGTTTTAGATGCCAAAATACTCACCTCCTATCAAAGGGCGATATACTTTCATGCATGGTACACAAGTATTACATTAATTTAACACCCACCACACGATTAGCCCTGCCAGGAGCCATTACCCCCAATTGGGGTGTTCTTCCCAGTGATACCAAAAGGCTGGGTTCATTGCCTTAATGCCAGTGCATTGGTGACCAAATGTGGTAATGTTTGGTACTTGGTTTCTATATTCCTCTGTACACTGTAAGATACTCTAGTATCTTACATAACAACTTTATTACAATTAAGTGACCTTTAAAATATTTTAATCCAATTTTACCAGCATATTTTCAAACCCAAAAGTAATGTGATTGTAACATTGTGTTCACTCAACTGGATTCTCTCCCCACAAAGGGTTGCAAGAAATTATCTGAAATATTGGTTTAGACAGTGTGCAATGCTTTTCATTCTACAGTCCCTTAACAGAACACTACAGCGTTCGGAATACAAATCTGTATTAGTAATGCTATAGTGTCCCTGTCCCTACTTTTATTCAGCCCCAGCCTGCTCCAGAGTGCTTTAAAATAATATGTACTTACCTTTTCCAGAGACGCTACATCAAGGAAGAGGCATGGCCTCCACCACCATTGTCGCAACCAATGCCCTGAGAAGAGCATGGGTTGACCTAAAACATGAGTGCGGGGCTCGCATTCAAACTTCCACGTTGGAAAGCATTTAATCAATGCTTTCCTCTAGGGGCTACCTCGGTTAGTGCAGTGAAAGCGCCTCTAGTAGCTTTCATATTGACAGTCACTAAAAATTGGATTTAACGCTGCAACAAGCAGGGCAAATCATAGAAGACTGCTTAAGGAGTGGAGGTCGGACAGAAGGTAGGGGTTACACAAAGGAGAAGTGAGTAAATCTTTATGTTTTACATTAAATACGTCATGAATTATTGAGATATATGCTGTATTCAAAGTATATGGGGGCAATTTCAGGTAAGTTCATTGTTTTCATTACAGGTTCACTTTAACGTGGCACTGTCACTTCTGTGATCTTTGCAGACAGTACCTGATGAGAATTTCAATATAACATATTATATGACTAAACTTCTAGGTTCCTTCTGATCACTTTCTTAACACCACATTTGGGTAAGTGAATAGATTTTTGGTAAAACATAAATACTAAAGTTTTTTTAATTGAGTATTTCTCACCAAACCCAACTCATTGATCACCATTCCTGTGTCTCCCACAGGCTTTAATCCTTAAGAGTGCATCTCCTCCCCCCACCGCCTCACATATCCTGTATTGCACAGTGTGACAGATCAATGTGAGTCCATTAATCTTAGTCTTAAGGATATGCACTTTCAAGGCTGCCTGAGCTTGAAGGGATTCATAATCACAGCTGCTGTTTTTAATTCTGTTCTTTCTTATTACCCATAAGCCAGGTAATTAGAATTTATTTTCAGGTTATAGACAACCTGAATGCAAACAGATAAAAAAAAAATATATGGGCATGCTAAAGTTGTAATACTTTGTATGGTATTTTATCAGAAGTTAAATAAAAACATTCTGAAACTTGAAAATAGACAAAATTAACCTCTTGTACACTAGCGGAAATAAATAGAAATGCCTGAAGGTAGCAAACAATTGCACATATATTATTATTGCCATTTATATAGCGCCATCAAATCCCATAGCACTCTACAATATTATAAGAGGGGGGATTTAACTATAAAGAGGACAATTACAAGAAACTTACAGGAACCATAGGTTTAAAGGGACACTCCACTGCCAGGAAAACAATCCATTTTCCTGGCACTCTAAGTCCCCTCTCCCTCCCACCTCCGGTTGCTGAAGGGGTGAAAACCCCTTCAGACACTTACCTGAGACCCCCACTGATGTCCCTCGGCGGTGGTTTTCAGGTCGGTGGGCGAGACTGATCCTGCCGGCCGGGGAGACCTAATGCACATGCTTTGAAAATGCTTTCCGATGGGGAATTGAGCGACGCTGGAGGTCCTTACACAGCGTGAGGACGTTCACCGACGCTATAGCACAGGTTTTCTGTGCTATAGACACAGAAGTGCCCTTTAGTGGCTGTCTAGTAGACAGCCACTAGAGGAGGAGTTAACCCTGCAAGGTAATTATTGCAGTTTATAAAAAACTGCAATAATTACAGTTGCAGGGTTAAGGGTAGTGGGAGTTGGCACCCAGACCAGTCCAATGTAGAAGTGGTCTGTGTGCCCGGAGTGTCCCTTTAAGAGGACCCTACTCAAACGAGTTTACAGTCTATAGGTTTACAATGTATTAAGCTTGTATGTGTACCAGAGTATTGCAGTATGTGTGTGTGTGTATATATATATATATATATATATATATATATATATATATATATATATATATATAATAATAATAATAAAAATAATAATAATAATAATAATATGTGTGTTACTTTCAGGTAAAGCAGCTCCACATTGCAGTGAATATAGGTATCCCTGCAACATTTATTTTTTTTAAACTGTAAGAGACTGACATGTAAAGCTTTAGTTAATAACAAACACACAAATAAACCCTGTGTGTGCCACATTGTTGCACAATATATGTGCTCCGCAATATCTTTAGTACATAAACGGTTACAATAGAAATGAAAAGGATACTTCCATCAAAATAAAACGATAAGGATTTTTAAGCATGGTGTATAAATATAACAATAATAAAAGCGAGGGACAGAACTACACACATTACCCTGTAAGTGCCATTGAGCTGCATGATATATGTGCCTAATGCACACAATGGCCCATTGGATACACATTGGAAACAAAAAAAAACCAAAGATGATGTGTCATATTGCTGGATCCCTGAAGGGCCAGGAATACACCCTGTCATATGTGAGTGTCCCTGCAGGTCAGGTAATGTGTATACTGTGTGTTCTCATTATTGGCTGATACATGTATAGGGCAGTCATTGCTGCCATGTACACACACACAGAGCACACACACACACTGTACACACACACACACACTGTACACACACTGTACACACACACACTGTACACACACTGTACACACACTGTTCACACACTGTTCACACACTGTTCACACACACACAGCACTGGCCGGGGGACACTCATTGTTTCTCCCAACTTTAGTCTGACCCCGAGCTGCCCGAGGAGGAGCCGGCCTTACCTGCAGCTGCTGGAACTCCTTCTCCAGCTCGCCCCATTCCTCCTGGCACTTGTGCAGGGAGGACATGTCGGGTACCACACACAGCGCAGACCGGCCGCCGCAGCCACGCTCGCACCTGACGTCACCTCCCCGACTCCACGAACCAGGCAGCCGTGCGGGCAGCGGGGGCGGGCCCAGCACTGCGCATGCGCGCAACTACCAGGCCGGCCGGTGGGCGGAGTCAGAACATGGCCGCGTCTCGCGTCCAGGCCCCGCCCATCGCGCCACTTAGTTTCATCCCGCTTGGTCGCCATGGCGCCGCCCGCTCCTTGTCACCAGCAGGGTTACCGCTCAGGGGGTGGGAAAACGTGCCCGCCATGAGTCGGGGGATGGGGGGATGGGGGTCATGGGAACGTGTTAGAGGAGATGGAGGGTGGCTCTGAAGGGGTGAAGGTTAGATACAGGATAGGAGGACATGGGAGGGGGCTATGGGGCGCACATTTTATTTACCTCCATGCTGACCTTTATATCTTTACATAAACACAAAGTCTGACTTTAACCCCTTAAGGACTGGACTGTTTTTGCGATGTTGTACATTTGCGACCAGGCATCTTTTTACACTTTTGTGGTGTTTGTGTTTAGCTGTAATTTTCCGCTCTCTCATTTACTGTTCCCATACAAATTATATATTGTTTTTTTTCAGGACAAAAAAAGGCTTTCTTTACATACCATTATTTATATAATCTCATGTATTTAAAAAAAAAAAGAAAAATTTCAAAAAAAATACATGTTTTTTGACTTTTACTTGAAAAATCTTTTACTCATCTACAAAAGTGAATTAAAAAAAATGCTAAATAGATTCAAAATTTTGTCCTGAGTTTAAAAATACCCAGTGTTTACATGCTTATTTGCTTTTTTTTGCAAGTTATAGGGCTATAGGTACAAGCAGGATATTGCAGTTTCAAAACATACATTTTTAAAATGTATCAATAGTGACATTGTAACACTATTATCTGTCATAAATAGTGATGTCGCGAACACGAAATTTTCGGTTCGCGAATGGCGAATGCGAACTTCCGCAAATGTTCGCGAACCGCCATTGACTTCAATGGGCAGGCGAATTTTAAAACACACAGGGA